CCCTCCCTTGTAAAGGCAGTGCCGGGAGCGTGGGCGTGGGGTGGGTCGTGCCCGATGGTCTCTGCCGCTAATGCCGTGTCTCTGCCGCTGCGCAGGAGTCCCGGCGGGTATAATTCACCTACCGCCGGCTTCAGCAGGAAAGAGGCTAATCCCATTGCGCCATTTACCGGGCCCGCCGCGGGTTAGGTGAGGCGGAGGTGTGCGCCCCGGGCCTGGGCCGTGGGCCGTGCCCCTGCCCGGCTGGCCCCCCGCAGGATGTCCGGTGAGTATTCTGGGGGGCTGCCCTTCGCCGGGGGTGGCGCCCCGCTTCCTCTGCCCTCAGCCGCCTTGCTGGGCAGCCCGGCCGCTTCTCTCCCCCCCTTCTCTCCCCCCCCACTCCCTGGGGCCTTCTCCCTCCTCACGCCCCTGTGCGGGAGAGGGGTCTCCGCCACTTCGCTGTCGGCCGAGCGTGCCGTAATTAGCGGGCTCAGATTAGGGTTTGAGCCGCCTGGCTGATGGGATGGAAGAACTAAACTCATTTATGCGTTCTGCTTGCACGGAGGGGTTGGCCTGCCCGGGCCTCTGGGCGCCTCCCGGGTGGGCCACAGGTTGTGTGTGTGGGGGGGTTTCCCTCAGCCTGAGGCAGGTTCAGAGAAACAGTCATCCTTCGCTCACAGTCATCCTTAGAGCCATGAGAGACGGGTTTAGGGGTGGCTGCAGGTGCCGTTTCGTTTCTGGAAGGTGCTCTCCCAGCTGAGGAAGAAGCGGGGTGTCAGCCCCTCGCCCCCCAGCCCCGTTGGTGGAGCCGGTGGCACAGACACACCTGCCTCAGGCCTTCCTCCCGGTGGGTCCCCGGTCTGAATTGGGGTGCGTGGCAGCTCAGTGCCTGGGGGTGATGCAGAAAGGGAGTCTGCAGATTAGAGGATTAGAGGATTGTAGGGTTGGTTTGTTGTTTTTTTTTTATTATTTCTGTGATTGGTTTGGGATATTTTGTTTGCTTTTTTTTTCCTTTGGAAGGAGAGTGGGAAGACTGGAAACACCTAACTGTATCAAGTCCTCTCTGCTGTTTTCGGATTGCTTAAGCAACTGTTACTCATTTTTTTTTCAAGCCGGTATGTTACTATTTTGGGACCGGCTTTGGGTGCTATGAGTTATGCTTATTTGCATATTGTAATATGGTTGCATTTTATTGTTCCTAAAGATCACGTACGATCTGTTGGATGACAAAATCGCAGGGTCTCGAAGCAGTATGTAACTATTCTTGACTGAAAGATACATAGTAAAAGCTACACAAAAAAGAGAAACAAGTCCCCTTTCTGTAGTGTCCAAGATAGCAGCCTTAATCCCATCTAGTAAAATTCAGTATTGTTTTAATAAAGCAGGAGAGAATCTAGTTTTGGGTCAGGCAGAACTTTGTTAGACCAAGAGAAATACCGCGTGCCATCAAATGTCCATTTATATTTGTTATAAAAAGGTCTGTGTAAAGGTATTGCTTGTGCCATATTCATCAGTAATGTAAATGTTTCTACTTTTGGACTCAGATCGAAGAAGCATGGGAATTAAAATTGCCAGCTGTCTTTTTTTTTGCTAGGGCAAGAACTGCTGCTTTGCTGAGAACTTGCATTATAATTTCTGATGGTGGCCTGACGTAGGTTATTAATTTTACCTACTTACACCAAAAAAGTTCTTGATTGCTTTCAAGGATGAAGGTGCCCCCTGAAGCAGTGGTCTCTGTTCCAAGTGCTTCTGATGCAGTTGTGCTAGTTCAGAGAAGCGAGAAGGCTGGTATCTCTCTTTACAGCAGTCTGACGCATCTTCACTGAGATGTGCTTCTGGAGGAGGATGCATAGAGACCTACGGGTGGAAGGGGGTGTAAAAATATTGTTGTTAGAGAACGTGATGTGAGCTGGGGCTGTGCTATGTCGCTGTCACTCGGGATTTCAGAAAGGTGCTTTGGGCTCAGCGGGCACAGGTCCAGACTGCAGCCTGCCTGGTCCTGCAGATTGTGACTGAAGTAGAATGGGGGGAGGTGACAAGAGCAGCAGATGGTACCAGGGAGGACTTTAAGAAAGCAGTTGTAGAAGGTTGGTTAGTATGAATGGCAGTACATACTGTGGACCTAACCAGCCTGTTGGAGCCATTGATTTATCAACTCCTGTTTTTATGCATAACATGTCAACATGTTATTTACAATACGCTTGTAGGAAAGTTGTAGCATATGAGTGTTTCTCTTGAAAATTTTCAATAAACACATACTGTGTTTTATGTAAGATGATCTGAGTTTTGTTTGCTTTGTTTGTTACTTTCTGGCACATATGCCAGCTGATACCTTTTATATACAAATTAATCTGTCCCACTAGGGAAGAGAAAGAATTGCTTCAAATTAAAGACTTTAGGGGGAAAAAAAGAAAACAGTTTAAGAAGTTTTTTTTTTATTCAGTAGCGGTGTCCAGAGAAGGATCTATGGCCATTATTAACATATTTGCATTTGAAATTGTATTAAAATTTATTTAAATTCATTCAGAGTATTTTAAAAATATTTTCTTACTTGTGTTAATATTATTGCCCAAAAAGGAGATTTTATTATGGAGAATTTAAGCAAAACCCATGAATCAGGATTGATAAACACTGCTCATCAAAGTGATTAATCCTCTGAAACTCTGTGGTCTGGTTACATCAACATAAGATCAATATACTGGTGTGCAGGCACAGTTTTCAGTGTTAATTTCCCTTTTAACTAGTACGGTGATGATGACAATAATAATTTTCTAATTATTGTAATAATAAAAATTTCAGATAATTGGGGGTTTATGTAGGGAAGCTCTAACGTATTTAAATCTGGAGGGGAAGGAAGGAATATAAACTATCTGTTACACCACCAGAACTCCAGCTTGTATTAGTGTCTCTGACATTTAAAATCTATTCTATACTGTAAAAAAGATTCTGGCACATAAGTAAAACAGAAAATCAGCTAAATGTAGGCATTGTGTTTATAATAAGAAAATGCTTTTGTTGATGAAAAAGTCCTCCAACTGAAATAGCTCTGCCAGTAATGTTATCTACAATAGCGATCTTGCTACTCATAAGCATATTGTTTAGTTGACCCATCTGTACAAGCAGATGATGAACACATTTCCCCAGAATTTTGTTTCTGAGGGATAAGTAAAGCTTTATTTTCTAGGTTTTTATGCCCGCCCTTCCTTAAACAGCTCGCCACTGTCACAGCAATGACACCCTCTTCTCTGGTGGACCTGTAGGATACTCCCAGTGGGTGGGAGCACAAACGCAGGTTGGAGTGGCAACGCTCACTGCTTGCAAATTGTCGGAAATAAAGGTTTAACCAGCTGAGCAGTGTGTCATGATGGTCCTCTGCTGAGTAGTTACTGCCATTCGCAGAAGAGTTCGATGCGAAAATGCCTCGACTGAACCACATCAGCCTAAAACTACTTTGCAGGGACATTGTGAGGCTGAATTACATAGAACAGCTACCCCACTTGTGCGTTACTGGTGAAAACACACTGTGAGAATATATCTAAGTGCATTTATATATATATTTGTGAAAATATATATACAGCACAAGCTCTTTGAATGCATTTATTTATTTATTTATTTATCTGGGTGCCCAGTTATCAGACTGTGCGCACCCGCAGGGGGTCCGATGGCTCCAGCGAAGTTGATGGGCAGACCCCCTTCACTCACGGTGAACTCCACGTCCCCGGGTGACCGTAAGCCACACCGGAGTCACCCTGCTCCTGCCCTAACACCTTTTTTTCCCTACCCTCTGCAACCTTCACCGTGAAAGACATTGGTGTCTTTGGTACCGTCTTTGACACCGTCTTTGACACCGGTGGGCGGCCTGCGCTGCCGTGGACGGGGCGCGGCTGGCCCCGCTCAGCCGCCCGCCCCCTCCCTACCCCGCAGGCACCCCCGGTGCGTGTCCCCCCCACCCATCCCCACGGAGACTACTCTTCTCTTTAACGCCGGCCGGGGGTGGGGAGCGGGCAGCAGGGACCGGAGCCCCTCGCCCGTCGGGGAATCTGGAAACTACGGCTGAGGAGGGGTCCGTCTCCTTCCCCGGCGCCCCCCCAAGGGAGCGGGCAGGGAGGCTCTGAGGGGAGCGTAAGGGAGGGTCTGCGGGGGTCCCACCGTCCCGGAGGGAGGGGGAAAGGGAAAGGGAAAGGGAAGGGAAGGGAAGTGGGAAGGGAAGGGAAAGGAAGGGAAGTGGGAAGGGAAGTGGGAAGGGAAGGAGAAGGGAAGGAGAAGGGAAGGAGAAGGGAAGGAGAAGGGAAGGAGAAGGGAAGGAAGTCCTCTCTGCTGTTTTCGGATTGCTTAAGCAACTGTTACTCATTTTTTTTTCAAGCCGGTATGTTACTATTTTGGGACCGGCTTTGGGTGCTATGAGTTATGCTTATTTGCATATTGTAATATGGTTGCATTTTATTGTTCCTAAAGATCACGTACGATCTGTTGGATGACAAAATCGCAGGGTCTCGAAGCAGTATGTAACTATTCTTGACTGAAAGATACATAGTAAAAGCTACACAAAAAAGAGAAACAAGTCCCCTTTCTGTAGTGTCCAAGATAGCAGCCTTAATCCCATCTAGTAAAATTCAGTATTGTTTTAATAAAGCAGGAGAGAATCTAGTTTTGGGTCAGGCATAACTTTGTTAGACCAAGAGAAATACTGCGTGCCATCAAATGTCCATTTATATTTGTTATAAAAAGGTCTTATTGCTTGTGCCGTATTCATCAGTAATGTAAATGTTTCTACTTTTGGACTCAGATCGAAGAAGCATGGAAATTAAAATTGCCAGCTGTCTTTTTTTTTTTGCTAGGGCAAGAACTGCTGCTTTGCTGAGAACTTGCATAATAATTTCTGATGGTGGCCTGACGTAGGTTATTAATTTTACCTACTTACACCAAAAAAGTTCTTGATTGCTTTCAAGGACGGAGGTGCCAGCTGAAGCAGTGGTCTCTGTTCCAAGTGCTTCTGGTACAGTTGTGCTAGTTCAGAGAAGCGAGAAGGCTGGTATCTCTCTTTACAGCAGTCTGACGCATCTTCACTGAGATGTGCTTCTGGAGGAGGATGCATAGAGACCTACGGGTGGAAGAGGGTGTAAAAATCTTGTTAGAGAACGTGATGTGAGCTGGGGCTGTGCTATGTCACTGTCACTCGGGATTTCAGAAAGGTGCTTTGGGCTCAGCGGGCACAGGTCCAGACTGCAGCCTGCCTGGTCCTGCAGATTGTGACTGAAGTAGAATGGGGGGAGGTGACAAGAGCAGCAGATGGTACCAGGGAGGACTTTAAGAAAGCAGTTGTAGAAGGTTGGTTAGTATGAATGGCAGTACATACTGTGGACCTAACCAGCCTGTTGGAGCCATTGATTTATCAACTCCTGTTTTTATGCATAACATGTCAACATGTTATTTACAATACGCTTGTAGGAAAGTTGTAGCATATGAGTGTCTAGTTTCCCATCACAATCTGGGAATAGACAACTTGGAAAATTATTCTAGGAGATACAGATGTCCAAGGAGCACATATATATTTTTTCTCTCTATCAGAAGACAGACTGAAATATATTTTAAAAGCTATTTCTGGTGGATAATGGAGGAAAAAAGACCTTAAACTTGTCTTGAAGCTGGCAGGTGCAGTACTCATTATTACGAGTCTCTCCTGATTCTTGGTGCCTACCTCAAGTTTGTTTTCTCTCTTTTTTTTTTTTTTTTTTTTTTTTAAGGATGCGTCTGCACCAGTGAGGCAAGGGCTTTGTAATTAAGTCTGTTGGACTGATACTGTTTACAATACGCTTGTAGGAAAGTTGTAGCATATGAGTGTCTAGTTTCCCATCACAATCTGGGAATAGACAACTTGGAAAATTATTCTAGGAGATACAGATGTCCAAGGAGCACATATATATTTTTTCTCTCTATCAGAAGACAGACTGAAATATATTTTAAAAGCTATTTCTGGTGGATAATGGAGGAAAAAAGACCTTAAACTTGTCTTGAAGCTGGCAGGTGCAGTACTCATTATTACGAGTCTCTCCTGATTCTTGGTGCCTACCTCAAGTTTTTTTTCCCGTTTTTTTTTTTTTTCTTTTTTTTTTATATTCTTTTTCTTTGAACATTAAAGTGAGCACCACCCTGTCTGCTTGCTGGTGTGTATTCGAAGTAAGGCTTCTAGCTGCCCTAGAATTGTTTTTCAGGCCTATTGAAGAATTCTGCCTCTGGCAGTGTCAGAGGTACTAATGCTATGAGTATGCTTCATAAGAAGTTGGTGATCTTGGCTAAAAAAAAAAAAAAAAAAAGAGCTGTAACAAGTTTAACATAAAATCACGCTGGCTGTGGTGATTTACATTACTTTTGCTGTCTTTTCTGTGGTGGTATCTGTAGCTGCAGTGCAGGCTCTAAAATAACTCACCAAAGTCACTTGCAAATCCTTGGTTTGTTCTGAGAAACAATTGTTAGGCATTAAAAGTGAGCAGCCACTGCTGATGACAGTGATTTCTAAATTTGCATCTTTATGTGCTGTGTGGTAATCCAGACAAGAGAGATGAACAGATTTATAAATTTATATGACGTGCTTTTAATTTTGTTCTAATAATACACTTAATTTTCTCATGGTTCACTGAGAGAGTCAATGGTATTAGCCATAGGGTTCCACAGCTTGAAAACACTTTCCTTGAAAACTTAATACTGTTTGCAGTAGGTTCAGTACTGTTCATGCTATTGTCATACAGCACAAAGAATTGAAAGTTCTGCATAATGGTGCACTTGACACTTAAAATTCATTGCAACTGGATTTTTTTTTAATACCTCCACCTTTCAAATATAAAAGATCAAAACTTCTGCAGCTTAAAGTCAGTGAGTGAACCCCTGTGTGTGTTAGATGTAATACAGTGTTGTCCTTGATCTCGTTTAAATGGGAATTCTCAGGTAAATGTTTTTCTCTTACAAATTTATATGTAAAACTGATCCTTAGTTTTCAGTTATAAAAATAAAACATCTATTTATAGGGACAGAGTTCCGAAGAACACTATAAATGAGGCAAGTCAAATAACACTTTGTCCTTGAACACAGGGATTAGATGAAAAAGCAACTAATGATAAAATCTTTTGATTTTAAACCCCCTATGGATCCTTACTGGATTAGTGGTGCTCCTGTATGATTTTAAAATAGCTAGGACATGGTTCTCTCTTTGCACTAGAAATATTTTGATATTTCATGGTTTCAGTCAATATTTGATTATCTATTTAATTATCTTTGTAATGATTCACTCTATTAAGAAGGCTATAATATGTATCCCACATCTGATTCTCAAAAGAGACAATTGTTGTGTGTTGGTGTTTGGTTGTTGTGGGGTTTTTTGTTGGGGTTTTTTTGGTGTGTTTTTTTTTTTTTTCTCTCCTGTGGGAGGCATTAGCAAGAGTTTCTTAGAAGCTATATTTGTTTGGCAAACTACTTGCTTGTGGTGCTTGCCACAGCTTTAGCCCAAGAAGTACAGGGCATGAAAGCATATGTAGGATGCAATAATTTGCCATACCAACTTGCTGAACTATTTTGATGAGTAGCTTCTGTACTTTTAGATGTATTACTTATGTAAAAATTCAGCTTCTGTAGCTAAAAGAATTTGCAGAAGCAATAGGAAAATTATGTGTTCAGTTTTGTGGTTGTTATTGAAGATTTAAACACCCACTCATTTCACACTTTTTTTTTTTTAACCTACCCCCCACGTTCCTCTCAGTACTTGTTTTATTACCTTTATTTGGCTAAAGATGCCTGTTGCCTAACAGAACAGTGCTTTTCTTTGCTGACTCTTTGTGTCTTTTGAGAATAATTTTATTGCTAAAGTAGCCTTCCGTGGTTTTCTGCTTTGGATTTTTATGTATGCTTATATTTATTCATTTAACATTTTGGAAAGTTGCAGTAGGAGCAGTTCTGCACAATTTGCACAATTGTCCTTTTTAAACCACTCCATGTAAGCAGCTCCTTATTACTTGTTTTCTGGAACGCCCATAACTTGCTAGAGCTGTTATGATAACAGGAGATTTGAAAGCTCCTTTTTTCCTTTGCTGCTTCTGGAAATTGTGATTAAAAATGTTATTGGACTTTACTTAGGTGAGGGATCTGCAAACTATTTACAGTTTGGATGGATGATTCAGTTTATTTGGCCAAGTTGGTAAAGGATTCTCCTGCGGTGTAGGGATCTGTTGCAATGTCAGCAAATGTGGGGTGTGTGTGCTTGATTCAAATTTGGGTCTGACTGGAGATGAGTGGGAGGCAGGGCAAAAAGTGGGGCAGAATCAGAATGGTTTAGGTTGTCAGGAACCTGAAGATCATCTACTTCCAAGCCACCCTGCCATGGGCAGGGACACCAGGTGGACGACAGCATACCAGTGGGTCAGTGCTTTGATCTGGAGTTGAAGGAAAATGGAAATACTTAGTACCTAAGAGCTTGTCACTGGCACCAACCATTCTTTATTGCATACCTTGGTATTAGGTTAGAGATTTGAACTCATTCATTTTGGCAGCCTCTGTCTGAGACAGCCATGAGGTCATTTGTTGGGTTCTCTGCAACTAGTTCTGTGAGATTCTTTCCTAGAGTCTCCCACAGAGCCTGGAAACTGTATGACAGGGTGTTTTTTTCTGTTGTTATTGTTTTGTTGGTTTAATTTACTCAGCATAATTGCTTGTCCCTGAAGATGATGGTGGTTTTAAACAAGTAGTTCAATACAACTATTTATTGAAGCTCTCTAGAGCTCAGTGGAATTCCCCTCATCTGTGTGACCCGCTTATCTTGTTCTGGTTAATTTTACAGCCTAGAAAGCTGAGGTCTTCTGTCTGCTCTGAGGATGCTGTTCACCTTGCTGAATCATAGGTTCTGGCTCTCCCCAGGAGAACCCCAGTAACTGTGGTTGTGTCAGAGGGCAGAGCTGAAGAAGCAGCCCCTGGTGATACAGGCCTGGTATCATTACAAAATACATTATGTCTGCTATTGTGCAGGAGTGTAGCTTACTTTCTTTTTTTATTGTAATTTTTTTCCCCATGTGTTTCCTGACAATGAGGAACACTCCTAATTTTCTTGGAGTTACTTGAGGTAGGGATCATTAGCTTCTGGGAGGTGTACCAATCTCAGTAGCAATTTCTCTGCATTTGTTCAGCCAGCATCAGTTATTCCTGTACAAAGAGGACAGAGCAAAGCATATTGCCTGTTGGGTGGATTCAGCGAGATTCTGGAAAGAAGGACATTTCTGGCTAGTACTTAAACTTCCTGTTTTTTCCATTAGCTTTTGGCACTGTATAAACAGGAACATTTTCCTTATCACTTGTATTATACTATGTTAGTTAAATGTAAAATCTAAATATTTACAGATGGGCTTTTTTGATTATGTTTAGGCAAAAAAATTAGGGAACTATTTGTTTAAGGCTGATCTGAAAACTTCATACCTGTTATTATGTAAATCAGGCAAACAAAAGCCAACAAAACTCAGAAACATACATTCTGCAGTCTCTTTCACTGGATTTTCTATTCAGTTGTGGGGGAGTTGGGGAAAGAAAAGAGCTTATCACAGGAACTGCAGGTTGTTATAAGCCGCAGCCTGTTGGTTAGCTGGAGGAGGGAGATTGTAGGAACCTGCCAAAAGAGCTTATGTTAAAGCTGTAAAGTGACTCTTCTGAATATTTGCTCACAGTAACAGATCAAGCCTTTGTGACCCTTGCTACCAATGACGTGTACTGTCAAGGAGCTCTGGTTCTCGGACAGTCGTTGAGGAACCATACGACATCTAGAAAACTGGCAGTACTAATTACACCAGTGGTTTCCAGTGGGATGAGGTAAGGATTCTTGTGTTTTTGGAGGTTGATAATGTGGAAGAATAAAAAACAACATGAAATATTTTAATAGGCTTTCTCTGGATTTCACAGCATTATGTCTAGAAGTTCCCCCTTGGCCACTGATTTCTGAGAGGAGTCCCAAATAACATCCACGATAAGATTTTAAGCCTAATAAGAATTCACTTACAGAAATAGCACTTGTGTCTTAAGCTCCTATTTGGGAACATAAGATGAAAGTTTGGGAACCAAGGTCTAAGTGTCTTGCTGTTGAGCTGAAATAAAGGCTTTACTCTTCTTTTCCCCAAGAGTTTCTCTTTTAGAAAGAGCAAGATGCGTTAACACCTGTGACATCAGCTCTCCAAAAACCTTAGGGCCTCAGTTTCAGATTACTAATATTGTTAAAATAATGGTGCATGGCTATCATGATGAGAAATAAATTAATTTGGGCTTTTTTTTTTTAATCACTGCAATTTGGGTTGTGATTTTACAAGCACTACAGAATTGCATGTACAGAAATCTCATTAGATCTCTTGAACTCAAGCCCTGTTATTTGAAGGACTGTGTTGCTTGTTAAAAGGAACTTTAAATGCTATAGCTACTTAAACTTTTATTCCTGCTATGGCTTAGGAAGCGTGCAAGCTCCTGATTTCTGTATGCCATGTGAAAGTATTTGTAATACATATGGCTCAAAAAACATATTTTCCCATTTTTGCTGTGATTAGATGCACAGAAATCTGTTTTTATGGGTTTTTTAAACTATGGATTTTGTCAGAATGCTGTAACCTTCTTGAGGGAATACTATATAAATTTGACACATGGGTAGATACTAAGTCAGTTTTTTCTTCCCTATTCAGTGGAGAGAGAAACCCTTATAATACTTTTTTTGTTTTTTAAAATCAAGGATGATATTTTAGTAAAGCACATCACTGAACTCTGCTTCTAAAACTCTTAATTCTTTCCCAGTTAACTCTGGTCCCTTTGATGATCAGTCAAGAAAAAGCTGATGACTCTGAAATCTAGATAATCAGCACAGACTTTTCTTTTTCTGTGTGTGTTTCTATGACATCCAGGACTTTATAGTTAATAGTGTAATGTAATTAATAAGCTGTGTTTTAAAGACTTTTCTTCTTGTATCTTGAAGGATGATTACCTACTTTGGTATCACCTATGAAATTCCTATGAAAGATGTGCATAGAGTCTTCCTTAAAAGTCTCATTTGAGATGATTTGTTGTGGTGAGCAACTATATATTACCTGTTTTGAAAGCTGCACTTTTGAAGCTGCATTTACTTGGGCATAATAGATGCAAATAACCGCAGTGACAGTGCATGCCACATCCTGTGCACTGCACAGGGAACACAGTACAGTGCTACGCTTTAGAGTCCATTGTGCAGGATGAAGGCTGCTTTAGTTTCTGTTGGTGTTTCTATAGGGCATTAAATAACTAAAATTAGAATTGGTTTCTCCTCCATACAGCACCTGTCGCATTTGAGATGTGCTGGCCCTGTAGTGGAAGAGGTGGTGGTTTATGGCCCGGTAGCTGCCTCTTCAGCAGAACTGTTTACAAGGACTTTTCACTCTTGACTTCTCACTCTAAACCAATCAATCTAGCCTTTGTTATTGTCATAAAAAATGTTGTGCTGTGTGTTTGCTATTTTCATGCCAGAAATGAACTCTGATGAACCTCTCTAAATTCCCTTCTTTCTCTCCACTGCTTGCTCTGGTAGGTCTGTCCTCCGCAGTGTGTTTGATGAAGTAATTGAAGTGGATGCACTTGACAGTGCTGACTCAGTCCGTTTGGCTCTGATGCAGAGGCCAGAACTGGGTGTAACCTTCACTAAACTTCACTGTTGGACTCTTACTCATTATAGCAAATGTGTCTTCATGGATGCGGACACTTTGGTGAGTAGACCGGGAGCCGTGGAAACATTTGTGTGTGCCTTAAAGAGCTGCTCTCGGTGTGGGATACTTCCTTGTCACTCAGCCTACTGGCCTATGAAGTGACCACATTTGCTGCTGGTCACAAGGTTGCAGGAGTTCCAGCTGGCATGTTCTGGCAATGCTCGTTGTTTTGCTGGCTGCATGGGAATAAATGCTATTTTGAGAGGAGCCTCAGGATTGTCCTCAAAAGATATCACAAGCTCTATGCAAGTGGATTTCTGACAGATATTTGAAGTAGATCTCTGTCATATACTTTCATTTGGACTTATTCTGGTCAGGAAGACAGGCCAGTGTTAAGATGAAGTTATGGTAGGTCGTATTTCAAAGAGCCTTCTAGTTCTTTTAGACTGAACATTAGGAAGGAATTTTTCACAGAGAGAGTGGTCGGGCATTGGAATAGGCTGCCCAGGGAGATGGTTGAGTCACCATCCCTGGATGTGTTTAAGGGATGTTTAGATGTGGTACTGAGGGATATGGTGTAGGGGAGGACTTTGTAGAGTAGGGTAGATGGTTGGACTCGATGATCCCAAGGGTCTCTTCCAACCTGAATGATTCTATGATTCTAGAGTGTCTCTGAGGCTCATGAAGTAATTTGACAGGGTTTGTGCTTTTATCAGAGAAATAATGGAGAGCCACAATTAATAGACCTGCCTCTGTGAGCCCAGAGGAGGGCCACAAAGATGATCAGGGGGCTGGAGCACCTCTCCTGTGAAGACAGGCTGAGAGATTTGGGGTTGTTCAGCCTGGAGAGGCCTTTCAGTGCTTACAGGAAAGATGGGGAGGGACTCTTTTATCAGGAAGTGTAGTGATAGAATGAAGGGTAAAGGTTTTAACCTGAAATAGGGTATATTTAGACTAGATATTAGGAAGAAATTCTTTACTGTGAGGGTGGTGAGACACTGGAACAGGTTGCCCAGGGAAGTTGTGGATGCCCCATCCCTGGAAGTGTTCAAGGCCAGGCTGGATGGGGCTTTGAGCAACCTGCTCTAGTGGGAGGTATCCTTGGCCATGGCAGGCAGGTTGGACCTAGATGATCTTTAAGGTCCCTTCCAACCCAAATAATTCTATGTTATTTTATTATATTAAAAATAAAGTTTCTGACCCCTAGCATAGATTGCACGGCTACTGCCTTTGTGCTGTGGAAGCTATATATTTGGCAAAACTGTCAATTTACTCCCTTGGTACTGAATTTGCTACTTGTGTTCTAGAAAAACACTTGTTCTAACAATTTTTCTCTCTTCCTGATGTCTCTAAGGTGCTTTGCAACGTTGATGAATTGTTTGATCGAGAAGAGTTCTCAGCAGCTCCTGATTCTGGCTGGCCTGACTGCTTTAATAGTGGTGTATTTGTGTTCCGACCTTCTTTGAAAACTTACGATCTACTGCTCCGGTTTGCTGCTGAACATGGCAGCTTTGATGGTAAGGGGCAAGGCATAAGGGACATACAAAAGACAGCACATTTCTTCTCAGTAAGCTGTTTTTCTGTAGCTTCCATGCTGTCCGGCCGAATGGAAGAAGGCAGGAATTCTCTGGGCTTTATGTAATTGTGCCCCCATAAAAATTTAAGGTGCAGAATTTTGCCTCTTACGCTGTACTTAAGACTTATTGCATTTATAGTGGACTCTGCTTTCCAGGAAAGTGCAAAGAAGGGACATTGTGTCTGAGTCTTGCTCAGTAAGTTTTAATTTTGCTGTCTGGTTTAGGAGAGAGAAATACAGCTGATCTTCAGTCTTCTGCTCTGAGGGAGACCAAAACCCTTTGCTGCTCCTTCCTTCATATATTACAGTAGGACTCCATTTACACTGAGCTTGCATTGGAGTGGATCAGGTATTACTCACTTGTGCCTGCTCACATGGCCATATTGTCAAGTCCAAGTTGCAGTCCCATGAACACACCAGTCTCACTCCCATCCTTGGATGTGAAATTTTGATGTAAATTTGAATGTATGCATAATTATGGTAATATTGGTTTATATATTCTTTAGGAGGTGATCAAGGCTTGTTGAATAGCTTCTTCAGCAACTGGGCAACAGCAGATATTGGCAAACACTTACCTTTCCTCTATAACTTAAGCAGCAATGCTGTATACACCTATGTTCCTGCTTTCAATCAGTAAGTAGTAACGCTTCTGACTGACTGTAAACCTCTGTAATTTGTTAACAAGCATTCTATTATGAGACAATAATAATGGCATATTCTATTGATTATAAATTACAGTAGTCACACATGATGTGTAAAAATCATGCAGTAGAAGCTTAAACACAATATGAATGTCTTGCATCTGGTCACAGAGAGCCCCAGAGGTGGCTACACTGTCTCATACGTTGTTTCAGAGAAGTTATTCTCATTTTTGAGCGGTTGTAGCTACTTTAGTGGAGGTTGCTTTGCAGTTACTTTGAGAAGAGTTTACTTTAGCGTTAGGTTCTGACAGCTTTACTTTTTAAGTAGTTCTCTTGTTTTCCAGTCAGTTCTATGGGAAACAGTTGGGCTATTCTTTTAATTTTGTTTTTTTTGTAACCATTTCTTAGCTTCTTCCGTGAAACAAAATTTGTGCTAGTAATTATAGGACTTCAGACAATGCAATTAGAGAAACTTTTCTGCCAGAAGGCAACTTGGTTTGAGGGTGTCATGAATTACTGCTCCAGTTGCACAAAACACTCTTACTGGAAGGTGAACTTAGGATGATGCATTTATTAGTAATTTTTAATATGTGATCAGTAATAACCAATTTTGTTAATTCAGCAGTTGAAGTGGTATTTATTTGTTTGTGAGCAGAGTGTGCAGGAGGACTGGAAATAGTACTGCATGAGCCTGTCATCTTCTTTCATGAACTTTTGTACTAGAACCAGCAGCTGAATGCAAATGGCAATGCAGCCTTTCGTTCTCTGTATACCAAATGGGATACCTTAAACTAATAATATAGAAAAAATATTAATATATATACTCATATTGAATGTGTTGCTGTTGCAAAATGTCAAAATTACCTCACCAGTGTGAGTAAGCCTGTTTCTTTAGCAGTTTATATAGGCTAAAAGAAATATTTAATGTATGTATGTATGTTTAATCACTACAGTTTTGGTAGAGATGCCAAAGTTGTTCACTTCTTGGGAGCGACAAAGCCCTGGAACTACAAATATAACCTTCAAACAAAAAGAGTTATGCAGGATGGCACCACCTCTGGATCTTTTCATCAACTGTCATTTCTTGCCCTCTGGTGGAATATATACAGCGCCAGTATATTGCCTTTGTTAGAAAAACTTCAAAAGATGGAAGAATCGGAATCTGAGGAATGCAAGGTAACTACTAAGGAGTTACTGGCAATATGCTGAAATCACAAGAAAAATTCTGAAAATTATATGTTTGCTAGAGAAAGGAATTACATAAAACCCCATAGTATCTGTTGATTGGTGGTAGCAATGATTACTTCTATAAACATCTAAACTAGCAGTTTAGGAGGGATTTTTAATATTATTGGCTTTCCAAAGATTTCCCCAGCCTGCTTCTTAATTGATGAAGAGTTTGTATGGGAATGTATGTGTATAGATTCTGCAAATTAAACACAAAGTGTGATACAAGTTTTCCACAGAAGGTGATAAACTGGCTATGAAACAAGCAGTCTTTTGATATTTTGGAATGAAGTTGATGTAGACCATCAAACTAGCCCTTGAACTATCACAAAATTTACTTTTTTAGAACTGCATTATAACTTGTATTATGAGGTATATAACAAATAAATTAGATTTGCAAAGATGGTGTTAATTACATTTAGGATGTTATTTACAGTACTCATATGTCAATAAGCATTTACTGAGCTCTTTACACTTTTTTTTTCCTTCAAAGGAAGTGCAGCAATGTATGGTTTTTATGAATAGAATAAAAAATCTGTTGATAAATAGATGATTTCTTGGAGACCAGCAATATAAAGTAATGATTAGAAGAAGCACAATTTTTAATTCTGTATTCAACATGACAATTTAGATCACTTTTATGCATATGTAAATATTTTCTATATGCTTTTTAATATTAGGCTATTACTGTAGTTGAACTAATTGCATAGTCCCATAAGATCAGTTGGGCAATTGCCATCAAAGCCCCAGAGAGGAGTTTGGTTTGTTAATCTCATAACAAATAGGAAAGCAGATGAAGGAATGGGTAGTTTTTGATCTCGGACTTTAACATGCTTTAATTTTTAAGAAAATGTGCAGTAAAGAAATATTTCAGACGTGGTAAAATGAAGGTGGAAATACCTGTTAGATTTACCTTCTGATGATGCTGGCATACTCATGAGTGCAAAAATCTAAATTTCAAAATGCTCTGAATCTGGGATCACAAACTTCTTGAATTTATTAACTTACTCCTTTAATGCTGAGATCACAGAATCATATGAGGTTGGAAGGGACCTCTGGAGGTCATCTAGTCCAACCCCCCTGCCAGAGCAGGTCCATCCTAGAGCAGGTTGCACGGGAACATATCCTGGCGGGTTTTGAACATCTCTAGAGACAGAGACTCCACCACCTCCCTGGGCAGCCTGTTCCAGTGCTCTGACACCCTCAATGTAAAGAAGTTCCTCCTCATGTTTAGGTGGAAATTCTTATATTCAAGTTTGTGCCCGTTACCTCTTATTGCATCCCTGGGCACCACTGAAAAAAGACTGGCACCATCCTCTTGACACCCACACTTTAAGTATTTATAAGCATTGATCAGATCTCCCCTCAGTCTTCTCTTTCCTAGACTAAAAAACACTTAAATCCCTCAGCGTCTCCTTTTAAGAGAGATGTCCCCGTCACCTAATCATCTTTGTAGCCCTTTGCTGTACCCTCTCCAGCAGTTCCCTGTTCTTCTGGAATCGGGGAGCCCAGAACTGGACACAGTACTCCAGATGGGGCCTCACTGGGGCAAAGTAGAGGGGGAGGGTGAGCTCCCTCAACCTGCTTGCCACACTCTTCTTGATGCATCCCAGGATGCCATTGGCCTTCTTGGCCACAATGGCACTTTGTTGGCTCATGGTCATCCTGTTGTCCACCAGAACTCCCGGGTCTTTTTCCTGAGAGCTGCTCTCCAGGAGATCAGCCCCCAACCTGTACTAGTGCATGAGGTTATTTCTCCCCAGGTGCAGCACCCTACACTTGTCTCTGCCCAACTCTCCAGCCTGTCCGGGTCTTGCTGTATGGCAGCACAGCCTTCTGCTGTGTCAGCCACCCCTCACAGTTTTGTATCGTCAGCAAACTTGCTGAGGGTACACTCCATCCCTTCATCCAGGTCATTGATGAGTGTATTGAAGAGAATTGGACCCAGTACTGACCCCTGGGGAACACCACTTGTTAAGGACCTCCAACTAGATTCTGGGCCCCTAATCACGACCATCTGAGCTCTCTTTCAGCCAGTTTTCAATCCACCTCACTGTCCATTCATCTAATGCACACTTCCTAAGCTTATCTGTGAGGATGCTGTGGATTACTGGGTCAAAAGCCTTGCTGAAGTCAAGGTAGACAACATAACTGTCCTCCCCTCATCTATCCAACCAGTGATGCCATCATAGAAGGCTATCAGGTTAGGCAGACATGACTTCCCCTTGGTGAATCCATGTTGACTACTTCTGATAGCTTTATTTTCATCCATGTGCTATGAGATCCATGCAAGGAAGTGAAACTGTTATAAATAAGATATCAATTTCCTGAACAATTGCATTTCAGTGGTGAGATGTTCTTGTTTTTATTAGCACACTTTCAATGGAGTTGAAATTACACTGAAAAAGGTCAGTCCTCCTGTGGCCAATTCGCTGCAAACGCCTGTGCTTCCAGAGCAGACACACGAAACACAGCCCACAGCTTCTTCACCCGAGGAACTCACTTTCGAAGCTGTAAGTATGTTGTATATTACTATATGCAGTAAAAAAAGTAAAATGATATATTGAAATGAGATTTTTTTTTTAATTATGCTTTTGATCTGGGACATTACATCTTCTTTGATTTAACTGTAGCTATTGAATTTTCTTGCTAATATCAGAAATAGTCTAAAAAGTACTTATTTTCTGTAATCTGAAGTCGCACGTGCATGATCTGTCTGGAGGTTTACACTGAGTTTTACAAAGAGATTGTTTGTTAAAAGTTGTTAGGTACTCAATAAAGGATAATTCTGTTACCAAAGTAATCTTTTAAATATTAATACCCTTGTGAATTAATATATTTAAAACTAGAATCCTTTCTGTCACTCCTATATAGAAATTATTGGGGTTTTTTCAGAAGTGTTGACTCGTAAAGCTGTTCAACAAATTTCTGTGATTTGGGCAACAAGAAGTGTCTTAAAAGAATCCTGTGATGATCATTATAGGGGTCCTGACTTCCCTTATATTATGCAGGAATTAAGTTGGACATAATTGCACGATGTTTCTGCAGGTTGAAGTAATTATGTGTTGTATAATAAACCATGCTACAGCAAGGTACAATGGGATAAAAGAAAATTAACGTTCTAATGTCATCTGCTGTTGTATCTTGTGGACTACTCTCTAGTAAGATGACAGTTTTTATTATGTTCAGTACTTTGTCCCTTGAGACTATAGTTACTCCATAAAGTAAAACTGTAGTCTTCCTTCATTTCTTTTCTACCATGAGTGTGGAGGGGATGAAGGAAAATTGCAAACCTTCCAGCTCTATAATTAAGAATAATTTATTTGCAAATGATGTGTTATCCGATGTGCCTCATGCATCTGTCTCCATTGAAAATGCTCAAACCAAATAGAGACACATTTTCAGGATGTTTGTTTGGTGAAAAAAAAAAAAAAATATTCACTTTAAGGATTGTCATTCAAATTTAAAATTCTTTAATTTTTGAAATTACTACGATTGGTTTATCAGAAGATCCTATTCATTTAAAATTAATAGTCTGATTCTCTTCTTACTTAAGAACACAATCATTCCACTTTTTGTTGCTTAGCTTCAGTAATCTTGTGGGATTGTTTTTCTTTTGATGGAAGAGACTTCAGAATGGGATCTGTCATTTATGTTTTGATATCTGACAAAGACAAATATTTGGGGCAGTATTTTTGGGGCGATCTATTTTACCTCTGTTTTGCAATTCATTGTTCTAGTCTCATTCTGTGAAAAGCTCCTGAGCTACAGAGCAAGCTATTATCCTATAATGAGATTTTTCTCATTGAAGTTTGGTCTCATGAATGGTAGGTGTCTACTATGAGCTAGCTTTCCAGACTGTTTCTGTAGTCACTGAAGAATGCCAGCCACTCTTGAACCTATTTTAGGATGAGATGAGCTGCCCTCTGGAGGTACTTATCCTAGATTGATTATAGTAGGAGCTTAGGATGCAATACCATTTTGATAGCTAAAGCCGGGCGAGATGAATTTTGTCCTTGGTAATAATGTGTTTTGTACCTTTTCCTCCCATCCCCTGCTTTCCCCTACCCCAAGACTGAAATGGATTTTTATTGTATGAATTCTCATAATAAGGAAACTATGAAAAAGTATTCTCCTAATAAAACCTCAGTGGCTGTATTTTAGCAACCTGTATGTGAAGTTGAAAAAAGCGGTTCTAACATCCATCCCTCTGAGCCTGACAGACCTTCAGAACAACTTGTATTTCATCCTGCGTTTCAGGAAACCTCAGAACTGGTACATGTAGCTTTCTGCACAGTACACCTATTGATAATTGCATGCATGTCTTTGCTGCCAACATAATGTTGCAAAATGTCAGCTAATTCTGGTGCAATGTGCAAATAAATTCTTGAATCTTTTAGCTATGTAATTCCTTAACTGCTTCCAATACTGGGGTATGATCTCTTTCTATCAGTCACACTTCTAGTTTTTAAATGTGTATTTACCTGTGCTAGTCCCCAAGTAATAAATGCATGATGTTAATTTCAGCTCTGATACTAATACAAGCAAAGCTGTTTGGGATTTTTTGTTCTGTTCTGTTTTTTGTTTGTTTGGGTTTGTTTTTGTTTGTTTGTTTGTTTTGCTTTTGGTGTTGGTTTTTTTGTTGTTGTTGTTTTACCTGCTGAAGTGATATTTCCAAGCAAATGGAAAATGAATGTAGAGTGAGTGAGTCAGACAGGGAGCCAAAGCTACTGGGCTTTCCTTTGTGATCTTGCACTGCATTTATCTGTGGGCAGTGTGACAGCAGTGCCAGACTTGTCATTGATGGGGGTGACAGGGTGTCAAGGACTTGTATCTTGTGAGGTAGGGAACACTGCCTTGTTCCTAATGAGGCCTTTTGTAAGATTGTGAAGCCCTACAGTGAAATCCTTTAAGACTGAGAAACAAAACTGTAGGTGTAACTGTAGGTCCTGTGCAGTCAAGGGTGTCTGAGCCCTAGCTAAAATTCATTTCTGAAAACATGGTGATTCCTGTCTTGTTGTTACTGGCATCCAAAGCTGTAGATAAGGCTTGCCAATGGTAAAGAAAGGAATTGTCATGGATTACTGCAGTTAGGTGTGTACAGAGCCTGAAAACTAAATACCAAGTATTGTTGCTTATTTACATATATAGGTAGCAAGCGTGCTCTTCAGAGTATTTATTCATGTTTAAAGTCATGTGGAGTGGGACACAGGTGGGGGTAAATATGGAAGGGTGCAGTTACCTAAGCATATATGTTCACTGTTTGAGATGCCTTATCTTGTTGCCAGGTGAAGGTCTTGCACAAATTATGTGCCTTATCTAAAGGTAGGGAACACTGCCTTGTTCCTAATGAGGCCTTTTATAAGGTTGTGAAGCCCTACAGTGAAATCCTTTAAGACTGAGAAACAAAACTGTAGGTGTAACTGTAGGTCCTGTGCAGTCAAGGGTGTCTGAGCCCTAGCTAAAATTCATTTCTGAAAACATGGTGATTCCTGTCTTGTTGTTACTGGCATCCAAAGCTGTAGATAAGGCTTGCCAATGGTAAAGAAAGGAATTGTCATGGATTACTGCAGTTAGGTGTGTACAGAGCCTGAAAACTAAATACCAAGTATTGTTGCTTATTTACATATATAGGTAGCAAGCGTGCTCTTCAGAGTATTTATTCATGTTTAAAGCCATGTGGAGTGGGACACAGGTGGGGGTAAATATGGAAGGGTGCAGTTACCTAAGCATATATGTTCACTGTTTGAGATGCCTTATCTTGTTGCCAGGTGAAGGTCTCGCACAAATTCTGTGCCTTACCTGCCCCAAATCAGCAGAAGTAATGAATATTCCAGGACGTTTAGGCAGTTCAAGCCACTGATTCCTGTCCGTTAAGTTCTGCTCTGAAACATTTCTGTATTGAATTTGTGAGGGCTTCACTGGAAGGCTATTCTGGTTGATTTCAATTTTGTTTATAACATGAGTTATTTGTGTTGGAGCCTCTTGGAGTAGTACTGAAATCAGGTTTTCAGTAGCTGTCGTGATTAGTCCTTGTTATATTTCATCTTTATTAATGGTTGTAATTGTTGAGATGTTCTGATTTTACTGGCAATCATGGACACAGTTTTTCTTTTACGGGGTTGAAATTATCACTAATAATGTGTCTTGCATTCATGCAAGTTTGATAACTTGTTGGTCAATCATGGACACACTTTTTCTTTTATGGGGTTGAAATTATCACTAATAATATGTCTTGCATTCATGCAAGTTTGATAACTTGATCTTGAACTGAGATTCACAATTTTGGACAATCGTTACTGGTATAATGAATAGTTCCAATCTTTCGCATTAATTTATATGGGTGATCTGCTATTTCCCATCTGCTAAGTGACAATGATCTCACAGGAGATCAGATAAAACAAATGACCAAAAATTCTAGGAAATTTTCACATGAAAGCCTGTTGAAGACAAAATTTGTGCAGATACAAGGTTACACTTCATTATGGGAGATACTAATATTCCACTCAGGCCGTGTTTGTAATGCTCTCATTGTGTTGTCGCTGAGAATGCCAAGGTCTGAATTAAGACAAATACAATAAATGTGTGGTATGGTCAAAGATGCTGTGACATGGGAAAATGAGATCACGTTATCAAAGGAAGGATGAATGCCTGAATACTCTCTGTTTTATTGTTTTAACTGGGACTGTACACAGCATAAGTTTGACATCTAAGGTTTAACTTCATAGCACTGAGATGAGAACAACCAAATGACTGTTTTTCCGTTCTTCTGCTTCTTCCCACAGGCCGAGGTCACACATTCTGTTTCAGAGCTGTCTATTCACTTCAAACCAGAAGAACCGAGTCCAGAAGAGGAACGGAGAAAATGGGAGGAAGGGCGTATGGACTATATGGGGAAAGATGCTTTTGAACATATCAAAAAAAAATTGGATGCATTTTTACATTAAGATGGAGTACTCTGTAATGGCCATCATGGTCTATGTTTCTTCTATAAATACAATCCTTTAATACTTGGCTATCTGCATAGTTTATTTGACACCAAAGTTAGAGGCAGATATGGGCTCTCATATTTTGGGGGAATATTAACAGATACAGAGTCTTGTTTTTTTAACTGTTAAGTGTGCCTCATCTTTATTGTTATGTGTGTCTCACCTTCATTGCTCTCCCATAGTGCCTTCTGAAGTATAACCAATGGTACCCTCTGAGTCAGAACTCTCATACTTATCACTCTTCCCTGCTCCTCCCCATAAGTCTTCTGCAAAAACGGTCATGAGTGTGAAATGTATTGGAAGTTGAGCTTATTTCAAAAGTACTTAAAAGATACTATAAAACTATTTAAATAAAAACTTGCTTCTTGAAGCCAAGTTACCACTTTCAAGGGCAACCGTAGCATAGGCTTCAATATGAGAAAGAAGTGGGGAGATAAAATCCTGGCCTCACAGGAGTATGCAACACAACTTTTTAATTTAAGTGTATTTAGGATTAGAGGAAATTTAGTCTTTGTCTGAGATCACTAATGGGTGTTCTCCCTGTTTATAGGAAGCTGCCCAGCTTCATCACCAACATAATGAAGACTGGTGTAAAACTCTTAAAATAGACAGATAATGTATGTTAACTTTTTATATTGTTGCTGTAGGATACTGTTGCTTTTGTAAATATTGTTAGCTTTACTTGCATATTCAGAGGAAGACATCCTGACACTATGGTGTAAACCTTCTGGTGCTTTATATCAATTTGTTTACAGTACTTCAAACTGCAGTTGACAAAGGCATTGTCCTTGTTTAGTGTGGTTGCCCCATATTGCAGGCAGTTGGAGAGCAACTGAAAACACAGTTTGCTCTTGTTTTACTAAAGAGGCCCTTTGAAGATCTTTTAAACAATAGCTGTGTGTGGGAACTAATAAATCTGTGAGTGTAGCTCCAGAAAAATCTACTGGTGAGATCCCATTATATTAAGTATATTTATGGGGGATTTCTTTGTGAATTTGAGTATTTAAATTTTACTAGTCTCAGCAAGTTTGTCTTGACGAACAAAGAAAAAGAAACACTTTGAAAGAAAGAAGCTTGACAGGCATGCTAATATGGTAACAGATTTGACAGAGTTATTCATAACACCCCTTAATATTAGAATAAGAATTCTGCTGATGCAGGACTTGAAATACATTTCAGTCTTAATAAGTCACAAATGTTGGTACAGATATACCTAATGAAATAACTTGGGAATTCTGTTTAAAAAACAGTGATGTGACGTTATGCATCAGAGGTATTGCCATAGATGCTAGTGGAGAAGGAGGCTAGGTAAGAGTGAAGGAACTTTTGTTTCTTTTTCCTCCATCAAAGAAGATGGAGGGATGCAGGGAATAATTTACACAAATTAGGAAAGGAACGAAAGAGCCAAAAGGTCCCATAAAGGAAGAAAAACCATGTTTGAGTATTTTAGAATTAATTTCTAATATTCACAGTAGTGGATTTGCTTTTACTTTTGTGGGGTATTTCTGATTTTGTCTAGTTCTTTTTCTCATTAATTCTAAGCAGTCTTAAAGTGGGAATCTCCTCGGTGTGTCTACTGCATTCAAGCTTTTAGTTCAAATTAGATTTTTAGGATCTCTGAAGTCAAAGAGAGAAATGTCCAGAAGATTATTCTTCTCAATTTCTCCATCGATCATAAAGGAACCCTCAATAGCCTGCCTCTCCTGGGTAGGTGACCTTTGCTTGTCAACACAGGTAGGTGCATTCTTCCTCTTGTGTGTGGCCTGGTGCAGAACTATGTGGAGGTTACAGCAGCTACAGTGTACTCTTACTTGTCTGGTGTTTGATCTGCTGACTATCCCTGTTTCCTAATGAACTTGTGCACTTCTGACAAAGTTCTCTGTTTTATAAGCATTATTGCTAATATAATTCAGTTTTTTGAAGACTGTATAAAACTGTAGCCAACAATGTTAACTCATGCTTTGTGCAGCTGTACTTCTTACAGTAACTCCTAGATCTTGCTGGGAACATTAATTAGGTTATTGGAAAAGAATTACTGACATGAAATCAGTAGCCAAAAGGTTTTAAAGTAGGCATATGAATGTAGTAAAAGGAGCTGTCATGGAATACATTTGAAAATACTAATATGTAAAATGGTACTGAGTATGGATTTTACAATGTTTTTCAAAGTACATTAATGTCATGGAAATAAAATGGAAATGGAAAGGACATATGAAGTCATGTGCTTATGAGATGATGCAGAGTTACAGGTTGTTTATGTTGTGCCAGGGAATATTATTTGTGACTGACTGGTTACTTTAGTATGTTTTTTAATTGTATTAAATTGCTTTTGAGACATTAGCACTACCTGCTGAGCAGAATTAAAAGGTGTGAGTTATTATTTGTACAGACATACGTAATTATAAGTTGTAGGACCTCTTGATTAGTGATTAGCACGACAGGAGTTGGTTCATTGTATTTCATGGAAAAGTATAGCTGTGGTTAAAAACCCTGCTTGAGTCTTTGTGTACTGTCTTGACACAAAAAGTGTTGAACTAGTTACAAGCAATGTACTGTTGCAGTGGACTCTAGCACATTGCTGTTGTCACCAGGCTGTGAGAAGGGAGACTTGTGAGTGAATTCAGAATTTGCAAGTGCTGTGCTTCGGGCAGCATTTTTTGCTTTTAAGGACATAACTCTGAAATCTTGGGGCTACGAGCAGGTCTGGGGGCTGTTAGGGGCTGCATGTTGCCATGAACCACAAAGTTGAGATTTGCGAAGTTGAAATGTGACTTGGAAATAAAATTTAGCAAGATTCACCTAGAATTTTTTCCTGGTTAAAGTGTGGCATAGCCCCAGCTATTTTTAGGTTAAAGATAGTTAAGAAATGTAGGTTTTTTGGCAGCACTATTCCTCCCTCAACAAGACGTGTTTTCACTTTGGCAATTTCAAAGACACTGTAGAATAATAAAGTCAATGAAATGTACAGGGGGCAAAAAAGTGGCACAGTAAAATGAGAATCCCTGAAGATCTTTTGCCAGCTGGTCTGTGCGTGTGTGTGACAGAGTTTTGTCAGTAGTGACCTGAGAAGCAGCTGTAAGGGTTTTGAAAGGCCAGACTCTGACCTATTGCTGTGTGGCAGACTCTGTATTTAAAGAGGACAGCTTGTGTTTAAAACAAAACATGCTGATTCATCTTCAGTAATGGGCTTAGAGTTATTCACAGCTAGACTTAGGAGGGTAATTTTATTTGCCATCCAACACTTTTATTGGGTGCTGCTCGTGTATAAAGAGAAGGTAGTGAGGCTGTGCCACAAGGAAAATTCTTGAAAATTTTATATGTGTGGGTTAATGCACTTTCCCAGCCGACAGGAAAAGGAGATAACTGATATTTCAAGAACAACTTACTTACTGCCTGGTGTCTTGTTGAAACTTTTCAACTGGGTTGCTCTAGGGAAAGAAGAAGTTTCCTTGTCTCTCTAGTTCAGTCAGCTTACAACAGTTATTTTTTAAGGCTGATCATTTGAAAAATATGCTTAGTTACTTTTTTACCTTTAGTTTTCTGTCCATGGATGTGAGGCTGGGTTAGCAGCAGGTGGCTTTATATGTTTGCATGCTCCTGAGAATGTCAATTTCTTCAACAGAAACAAATCTGCAGCTTGCCTATTTATTCCTTAATGAGTCTGACTCTGTTCTGTTAATCTAAACTGTTCTGATTCCTACGCCTTTGAAAATAATACGAGGTGGGCCCGTTTTATTAATTCACATCTCTAATATTTTTACCTCTGTGTAAAGGTATTTAGGGTAGTCTATGGAGAAAAAAAGTTTTCTATATTTGTTTCCTCCCCCCTCCCTCCCCCCAAGTTTTATCCTCATTATTTTGTTTTTTTTTATTTGTGGCTTTATTCCCATGAGTGCAGAAAAAAAAATAGACAGTTGCAAGCATTTTTTCTGAATTTTACTTTGATTGTTGTCAGAACACTTCGTTCAACTTCAAGAAACTGGAGGGGGGAAAAAAATTAAAATTCCAAGAGAGCTAGGCTCTAACTTGTGATTATTTTAATACTGACTGTTCCCATTTCAGGGTGGCATGACGTTAACTACCTTGGAAAAATATTTGTTCTCTTTTGTGGTACTGTGTAGGGTTCTGAACCCTGATAAATATAGGTGATTTTCCTTCAGATGTGTAATATCAGAAACAGGTGATTTATTTCATTTTAAAGAACTGTGATTTTCAAAACATTCTTGTAGTATAAAATACTTGGAACAAAACTGATTGCATGTGCTGGGTGGGTGACTGCTTTATGTTTTGTTTAGTTTAAAGACTTTTTTTTTGTTTTAATTCTCCTTAAAACCTTTGTGTTTCCAAACCTTTTACTTACAACTTTTAGACAAGTGGCAGAACAGAAGCCAGGGTTGTTTGGAACCTGTAATATCCCCATTTATCCCAGAAATTTGGGGTTATTGCGGGGGAATGTATATGTGTATTTTTTTCTTGTTTTAAAAAAATCTTAGTAATGCAGTAGTATGGTAATCCAAAGAGAAACTAGGTTTTTAGTAAATTTGATTTTTACAGAGTTGTTTAAACATTACAATCAAAACATTCTACAAAAATCCTCCAATATTTTATTCACACTATATATGTGCGTGTGAGTGTATTTTAACCTACAGTCTGGCGGGGAGCAAAAGTGTGGGGTTTTTTTTATATTTCCTCCTCCTTTTTGGTCATTTATGCAAATGCTTCTCAAATATACTCAGACTCCCCAGGAATTTCAAACTGGATAAACTTTGAGCTCAAACTGCTTTTCTCAGTTTATCCATTACACAATTACTTTGCATCCTCAAACGATGGGATCTTGTGATCCATGCACTGGCTTTCCCTCGGGTCCCAGCAGGGAGCAAGGTGACGTGTCTGATATTTAAACACGGTGAAGTGAGGTCTCTTAGAAGCTTATTGTCTCGCTGCTGTGAGACTCGACACTTACTTTGTTGAGTCAGTCTAATGCAGCAATTCCAAATGTCATTTAATAATGATCAAACTATTTAGATGGAAGTCAGCCTCATACAGCATGAATGTCAAACATTTATACAGCTCAGCCACAGCTCTTTCAGTGAAAACACTTTGTTACAGAGTGATGATTCCCTCTCTATGGTGTCTGTATGGAGCCATTCCTAGGCAATTTCTCCCATGGTTAACACTGGCTTGGAGATTTCCCAGTTGTCTCAGGTTTTCCCAATAGGCCATTTTATGTGGTGCTTGCTCCATTCTACGAAGGGAGAGGCCATGAGGAAAAACAGGGAAAAAGCATATCATTTGGCTTTTATATTCATATATTTTTCAAAAGGTCACTATAGATGATTTTTCAAGCAAACCGAGGTAACTGACAAGAGTGTATTTATTTCCATGTTATTCAAATGCAAAAAATTTTTTGTAACAGCTTTTTACCTATTAATGCATTTTATGTGGAAATGTGCACTGGGAGAACTCTTAAGCATGATGTTGGGTTCACCTGCTTTATGGGGAATCTGCATTTTGCAGGAGAGCAGAATAACAGCTTGTACAGAGCTTGCATGTTCTCTGATTAGAGAGTGTAAAGATGAAGAGATCAGCAACCACTCCATGGCTAGGATCTGCAGGAAATAGGTAAAATAATTTACCTCCTTTCCCTGCTTACCACTGTCTCCTCAAAATTTGCAACTTTAAGATATGTTTAGCTTTAGACAGTGGAATTTAGAACTGAAAATAGTCTTACCTCCTGTCCCCCATGTTTTTTGAAATGACCTTGTGCATCCTACTCCTGGAATAGACTTTAACCTGGTCTAGTAGGTGGTGTCCCTGCCCATGGCAGGGGGTTGGAACTCGATCTTTAAGGTCCCTTCAAACCTGAACCATTCTATGATTTCCCATTACTTTGTTCTCCTTGTCCCCTGCAGATGAGCTCTGTGTGCAGTCTGCCATCTTCCTCTCTCTGTGTGGTGAGAGCCCCTATATTTCCCCGTGCCTGGTTGAGGTCTCTAACAGTGATTTGACAAAAGCCACTTGTTCTCTGTTGCCAGGCCTGTTTCCCCCCACCTCCTGCCTGAAAGCCCCTCTGGCTTTCCACAGATGCCAACCAAGATGACATTATCTACATTTGAATGTTAGGAAGGCAACACATGTATTCGCGTGAGTCCTTAGTGTCTGACTCTAGATGGAGTTTAGCAAATTTACCTTTCAGAGGAGTGAGGTGTTTGACAAAACTTTCAAGTTTACTGTTATGTGGGGTGATGTTTTTCCTGTAAGGCCAAGGGCAGGTTTGCGTGGTGGATGTGGCATAAGCCAAACCAAATGCACTCTGCTCACGATGCCAGCTCTTAGCCTGGCTTTAAACTTGGGCTGAAAGCGTTCAAACTGTTCTTGGAGGTGGAGTTCAGGGGTTTTGCTGAGCTACTGGGCTTCCCAGCCTGTCAAGAGGAGCTTGGACCTACGCTTGCATGCTGTGTGGGGGCTCAAACGCCTTCCCATCCCCTGGTAAATGCTCTAATTGTGGCCTCATCTGTGACTGGGCATGTTCTTGTGCATAAATGGGGCGGGCGGGTTGGCGAGGCCAGTGAGCTGAACTGGTAAAAGCTTATCCTCATGCTAAACTGACAATATGGATGTTGCTGAACTGACTGGCTTCACTCTAGAGAACAGCTTTTGGCTTCGTTTCCCACTGAGCAATAAGATTTCTCCTCCATCTCTGAATTGGCCAAAATGGCTTTAAAATGCCTGGTCTTTTATGGTGTTTTCTTTCCGCATGAATCCAGCGAAATGCAGCTGCTCTGCTTTCAGTCCCGGTCAGCCACAGAAAAATGTCAAATCTTCCGACAAATTCTTAGCGATGCTGATGTGGACTTAAATGCTATCAAGCAGGAAGAACAAATGTATTTTTAGATACTTCTGTCAAGTCTGACATTGATGTGTCCTGTCAATTCACTGTCAGATTAGTCCTTTCATTTATGTGGAATCATTTCCACATAGCTTGCTTGGTGACCTTTAAGAGGAAAGGTAAAACAGGGAAATAAACTGAAGGAATGCCCGATCAGCTTTATGGAGACTTACGTTTGGTGCTGCATCATGGTCACAACCTGTGATGTCTGGGGCAAAATAACAGCAATTTACTACAGCAGTGACACGCCACCTCGGGGGTGTAGGTCATGAGCTTTCCTGAGAACACTGCAAAAGGTGCACAGTCCAGACACACACACTCTTTTGTCCTGAGGCTGGTGAAAGGGCTGGGACCTGCTGTTGTGGCTGAATAGCTGAGAGAGCAGTGCTCTGCTCCGGGATTCTCAGTTGCCAGGGGCTGCCTTACCTCCTCCCACCTTTAAAAGGCAAAAAATGATACACGGACAACCCTGGTACTGAACAGAGCTCCGCTGGTGTGGCTCTGAGAGGTGGCTCGCTTTAAGGAAACAAGTCACCTGAAGCACCTGCTGTGCTGCTCTTACTGTCCCTTGGTGCTTTTAAATCTTGGTGACATTTAGCTGTGTGGTGGGAGTGAGTATACAGTGCTCAGGAAGGCTTAGAAATTTGAATCTGAGTCTCTGGCACACAATCTACTTTTTTTTTTTGGAGCAGAAAATGCAGGAACCTCCACTTTAAAATCGGATTTGACTCAAAAACCCTGCAAGAGCATGGTTAGGATTATATATTGAGAGATGAATTTATTTAACCTGAAGGCAGCAAGAGAGGATTAGATATTTTAATTCCTTCCCCATGCCTAATGACTGTACAGAGTGCTGACACTTGTTTGGCTTGGAGAATATGACCTGGACACTGAAGTGATTAGTGTGCACAGTGAAATTTTTTAACACCACCTACTGAAAACAAAATGCTGTCTCACAAAACAAAGCAGGTTTTTCATGGGGCTTAATAGCACTCTTCTGAAATGCGGAGCATTATCACTCAAGTGGGACATGCAGCTTATGAACTGGTCTCACAGATCGTGAAATTTGTGACCTATCTTGTCAAGGCAGCTGGGTGATGATTTTCAATGCTCTTGCAACTGAGATGACTTAACCCCATGGAAAATGTATCTCAGCAGCAATTGCTGTGGTTTAGCATTTCAGAATACTTTGCTGCTGAATTTGAGATAATAACTTTTGCTACCTAAATTCTATAGCATATTTGTCAGTTCAGTTTTTTCCTGGGAATCCTTACATGATAAATGAATCTACAAATTAGGCAAAAAAATGACTGTAATTAGTAGGTGTTTATTTCTTAGAGGCCAATTTGTTTTGGTATGTTTCCAAATTAAATGTGCAATTGTGCTTTTAAACACAGGACAGTTTTCTCATTAAAAAGAGAAGACCTGAATAGAGATTCCCTCCTGGGCTCAGTCCTGTTGCCTTAACAAGCATCTTACCTGAACAAACAGCTGCAATTAAAGATTGCTCTCTTACCATTCATAATTTACTTGAATTGAAAATCAGTAAGGAAGGAAATTTGGTTTCACTTGTTTATGCTCTTGAGGGACAGGCCATACAGTTGACCCATAGGTGGAATGTTTGGAGCATTTTTAAATTTTTTTTAAGCTGCAGGCTTATTGAATTTCTGTGAGTAAGAGAAAAGGTTGAATAAAATGAATCACCAATGTCCCTTTCAGTTACTTCAGTGTAATTTGACCCATATCTGTATGACTGTAGCCATATGAATATGAAAACGATCAGCTTTTTTTAAGCTAAGTGTACTTTGATTCTGGTATTAAAGTATGCTGTCTGCTTTGTTGTTTTCTTCATCACACCAACAGAAGGGGAATGTGCCACAGCACGGCTGCAGCCACGGCTTCCACAGATTATTGTAAGGAGACAGCTGCTGTGGGACTGGAGTCAGCGTCCTGCGATGCTCTTCTACAGCTTCTCCTATTCTCCTTGTTACCACGTCGAACAAGGGCTCGGTGTCGGCTGATAGTGGATTTGTCTCAGAAGGATCTTTCAAGAGATCAAACAGCAGTGGAGGGTCATGATGGGTTACCCCGTCCCCGAAACATGGGCAAATTCCTCTTCCAAAACAGGCCCCAGAAGCTTCTGGTTGGAATACTGGAGTAGTATAATGAGCTTTCCATACAGTGCCACCTGTCAAAGAAGCACATTTGAACACCTTAATGGCACTAGGAGTCAGGGGAGGTCGCTGAAAGGTTGGTTCATGTTTTAAGTGGTCTGCTTTGTTGTTCCTAGATTCAAAGGTTTGGAATGATTTTTGTGGCTCTTGGGCATACCTTGGCTGTGGTATGTGCAGGGCCATATAGACTATGGGGATGGTTAAGTCTGATTATTTTGGGTGCAGGGGAGTCTCTGCCACTTTCTTGTGGCCCTTTAAGACTCTATGTGCCTCTTGGGGAGGGAAAAAATGGAGAATGTAGCCCCCAATTTCTGGGTGCAGATATTGGTAGATGGTTCTTGTGTTGGCTCTGTATGTCTGAGCCAAGAAGAGCACCTGGCCAGAAACTGATCACAGCTCATGTCCATGCTCACGTTCCAGCACACTTTCAAGTAGGGTGGTAATTGCAGGCCATGAAAACAGTAAAACCTGCAGTCTAGTTTTCACGTTAACATGATGAAGACAATGAGTTTGCAGCTTCAGAGCAGGTACTTGATCAGGCTCTAGTACTGACCCCTGGGTAAGTGCAGGTCTGTAACTTGTAAAGAAGAAATGACAAATGACTGGGACTAAATCTGAATGCAGCTCGAGGAGATTTTCCTTCCTTCTCCCTCCTTTTTCCCCTATTCCTCACCCCATGTTTGGAAAGCATTAGGCTGAACTTGAAGGCAAGGACGTGCCCAGCAAGAAGACAGCAATTAGGTACTATGTCTGAAAAAGGGAGCGAAAAAGAAAGGGGACATTCAACCCTTGGAGCCACTTGTGTAATGCATTGAGCACAAATAGGTGACAACTGCATTGTCCCTACATGGCATTTTCTTTTTGGTTCAATGGAATCTGCTTAACTGTCTGTCCTTCTGTTGTCCCTGGAGCTGTTCTTCATGTCTGGGAGTCTGCAGCTTTATTCTTCTGTCTCTGTTGTGCCACTACTGCTAGAACTTAATTTGTTAATAAATGAAATTTAAAAGCTTCATAGAAGGTGAGGGGGGGAAATAGCATATTAAGGTTCAGACAACATTTTAGCTTAAAATCTGTAGTTGCTGGCTGGTTGGCTGGCTGGCTATGTACCTATTTATTTCCACTCCACGCTTTCCACATCCTGCTAAGCACTTCTGTGGAGCGATGACGTCTCAATGGTTCTGAAGTGCTTTGGCATAGTACAGCTAGAAATGTTACAGATTCTAGATATCTCTATTTCTAAAATTGTGAGAGAAGCGATGCAGAAGGTCTATTTCTTAAAAGAAACCGGCTTACTTCCTGATGGCTTCCTAGGGACAGGTATTCCTTAGGCCTGTGCTTCGCTCCCCACAGCTTATACACTGTAGGGCAGTTCAGAGAAGTGAGTGTGCAGTGTCTGAGGAGAATTGTTCCAATTCGGCAAAATTTTAATGCTCACTTCTTCCAGCTGCAAATAATTACTGGAGTTGCCCAGTGGGAGAGAGCCAGCTCCTTGTTAGTTAATTCAGAAGGATACAGTGAGGCTGATTGTAATTAACCTGTGTGGGTGAGCTGAGTAGACAGCTGGGTTACAGCAGGGTAACAGGAGAAAAAAAGATGGTAGAAATCAGAACTGATAGAAGCAGCAGGGGTTTCAGTCATCTCCAAGAGGCAAAGAGGGATATGCAATTTGCTATTGAAGCAGCTCTGACAGAATTTGAAGGATGTGTGTGAATTTTAGGGCAACATGTTAATATAATATGTCCAAGGGAAACCAAACCTGCTCCTTCAATCCAAACATCTCTCAAACCCATCTGGTAACAATCAATCAATTTAACGAGCAGAAAGAAATGAACTGTCACTAATAAGCCTTATTGTGCTGTGGTAGAGGAAAGGACTCTTTAACAGACAGACAAAGGATTCTTCTGGCTTCAGCTTAATTGACGAGTCCTGCCTGGGTGACATCAAGACACAATGGCTTCCTATCTAGCTTGTCCAATAGATAGAAGTAAACAGACAATAAATATGTAATATGAACATGATATACTTGTAAATGAGCTAAAATAGACTCTAAAAATGTCAACCCAGACAGAAGTAATGGCAGTTGGAGCTAACAATCACAATTTCTGGCTTGGCTGAAAGTTGAACCCTGCAGTAATATTTAATTAGCTAGTCTTTCACAGGCAGGACATCCCATTGTTTTCAACCCCCTTGCCATGAGCAGTTGTGGTCCAATGGGGGAAAACCGTAGAAAGGCATGCATAGGAGATCGGGGTGTGAGTGTGGCTTCACAGGAACACAAAATACACCTTGCATCTTCATATTGTATCTGTGTTACAGGTGGTGTGGTTGTCTGGGGGTGTTCTACTGGGGGCTAGCTCTTGTCTGGTCCTGTCTACACAACATCTTTTAGTGATTAGAACATATTAGGTATTATTCAGCAGAGAGCTACAAAGATGATCAAGGGACTGGAGCACCTCTCTTATGAGGAAAGGCTGAAAGACCTGGGACTGTTTTGACTGGAGAAGACTGAGGGGGGAAGCTCATCAGTGCTTATAAATATCTGAAGGGAGGGTGTCAAGAGGATGGGGTCAGGCTGAGCCTGGTGAACAGGCACAAGCTGGAACATGGGAAATTCCATGTCAACAGGAGGAACTACTTTACCTTAAGGATGACAGAGCACTGGAACAGGCTGCCTGGAGAGGTTGTAGAGTCTCCTTCTCTGGAAAAAAACCTCTCTGAACACGTTCCTGTCCAACCTGTTCGAGGTAAACCTGCTTTAATATGGGGTTTGGACCAGATGATCTCCAAAGGTCCCTTCCAAGCCCTACCATTCTATGATCCTGGGGCCTATTTTACAGTTTCATCTAAGCTAAAGTTACGATCTCCAAGCCTAAAGCACAGGGAAGGGGTACACTCGAAAGAGTTTGCTTCAAAAGCATGCCTCTGCTTACATACCCTGGGAAAAGAAGAGGTGAAAGCTGGGTGAGGACAACAGCAGTTCTTTAACCAGAAAAGCAATTAGTCAAATGAGTATGCATTTAGCTTTTCACTAGGGAAGTGTGAACTGATCTCTCACACCTGAAGCTGATCAGAGGGATGGAGCACCTCTCCTATGGGGACAGGCTGAGAGAGCTGGTAGTCCTTACAGCAGCCTTCCAGTACCTAAAAGGGGGCCTACAGGAGAGCTGGGAAAGGACTATTTGCCAGGGACTGGAGCCATAGGATAAGGGGTAATGGTTTTAAACTGAAAGAGGGGAGATTCAGATTAGATATTAGGAAGGAATTATTTCCTGTGAGGGTGGTGAGACACTGGGACAGGTTACCCAGAGAAGCTGTGGATGCCCCATCCCTGGAGGTGTTCAAGGCCAGGCTGGATGGGACTTTGAGAAACCTGCTCTAGTGGGAGGTGTCCCTGCCCATGGCAGGGGGGTTGGAACTCGATGATCTTTAAGGCCCCTTCCAACCCAAACCATTCCATGATTCTGTGGTCTCTAAGGGTAGCTCTGAAAGCTGGGTGCTCATTGAGCTGGCCCGGTCTGCGGCCTGTCGGATGCGGGAGAGGAGAGAGAGATGCCAAGCGGTGACTCACCTCTCCGCCCCGCGCGCCGGCGGTGGCGGCTGCGGTGCTGCGCTGCCCCCTGGCGGCGCCTCCGCTTGCCGGCTGAGGGCAGGGCGGCCGGGCAGGGCCCCGGAGCTCGCCTCAAGTACCACGCCTGGTTCCACGCTGAGGCCTTGCTCTCCAAGGGCTGGCCTACGCGCTGCTGCGCTCGGCAGGAAAGGCGCACACCGGCCCCTCCTCTACAGTTTTGGTTTTTTCCCCCAATATTTTAAATATCTTAATTCTATTAATGTACTTAATGAAAAAGCCACTGTGACAGCAACGGAGGGAGATAACCCCTAACCAAACCTGGGTGCTCAAAGCGTTGCTTCAGCTGGTCTTGATTTGTAATTACTGCGGAGGCCAAATTTCCACAGGAAGAGTAAAGATGCAGAGTGATGATTTACACACATCAATTAGAGGTGATCGATTTTGACAGTGCCCAAACAGAGGAAAGAATTGGGTCCTGGTCGCCATAGATAAGTAAGTAGTTGAGAATCACAGAATCACAGAATCTTCTAGGTTGGAAGGGACCTCAAAGATCATCTTGTCCAACTGTCAACCTAACTGTCAAAAATAGACAGCCGCACAACAAACAAGAAGCATCACCATCACTAAACCATACCTCCCAGCACTACATCAACCTGTCTTTTGAACACCTCCAGGGATGGGGCCTCAACCACCTCCCTGACTGCCAACGTGTATGGCCTTGAGCAACTTTGCTGCTCAGCCATCGTGTGGTTCCCTTCCTGGGATCACCTGCTTTCGTTGCCATGGTGGCATCAGGTCATCCAAACCCCCACCCCAGACCAGCCCCACCTGCTTGTGGCTGGGCCAAGCACCAGCTCTGCAGCAGTTCTGCCCAACTGGGGCTGTGAAGGTCCCACCCCTCAGCTACAAGACAGAAGATGGGCAGTTGAAGCACTCTTTTCCGTTTCTTTCTTTCCTTTTTAAAGAAAAAAAAAAAAAGAAACAATCTCTTACCTAGTTCTTGGACAAAAATGTTATCAGCATCTTCCCTCCAGAGAAAATAAAGAATGAGGATTCCCAAGAGAAAAAACAAAAAGTAACAACAACAACAAAAATTCCCCAACCTTCCTTAGAAGGCTTGAGGGTGCTGCACTCCATGGAAGAACTGTGTTTGTGAAATGCCCTTGTACTTAGCATTTTCTACCACACAGCTCCTCCAGCAGCACAGGGGCTGCTCTGGATCTCACCCTGAAGGGATTAGCTCCTCAAGTACTGTACAGCTTGTATAGCTTACACAGTTTTCCTTGAACAAAGTACCTAGATTTATCTTTGGGATCAAGAACCTAAAAATAAAATTCCACCACAGTACCTGGCATCATATCCTCATATTTAGTCCTTAGTCCCTTTTCCTCCATGTTTCCTGTCAGTTCCTGCCCGGAAGCCATGCTTCTGTCAAATGTGGTGTGATGATAAGGGCACTGACATCAAGGTGAAATTGGCAGCATGACTAAATGCTTGATGTTGCAACTCTGGTATGTACTTGTTCACATCAACAAGACAGATAGCAGGGTTCTCAGCCATTATCCTGACAGTCTCGTGTGTGTGTGTATATCTAGGGGAGAGGAGAAATCAATTTTGAAATATTTGCAAGTACAAGTAAGTTTTATAGTCTTCAAATGTTCACTGAACAAGTAGGTTCTTGGCTTGATACTATCAATACTTGATACTGTCATCATAACTGAAAGTATCATAAAGGAAATTAAATGGACATGAGAAAGATCACTCAGCTAACACTGATCTAAGAAGAATTTCCTGCTGGACTGCCTAAGGTTATCTCACCCCATGGTCAGCCCTCCAAGTGCTCTTCAAACAGCCAGCTCCTCACAAACATATCAGCTGAATGTGAACAGCTGCTGAAGGTGGAATGCCCTAGCTTTTGTAGCTGTTATCTAATGGGAAACTCTCAAGAACTCTGTAATTCTTCTCTCACTTCACAAATAAAACAAAAATCGAAGGGCTTATTTCAGTTTCTAAAGGATGGGATGATGAGTAGAGTACTGTGTTCACTTCTGGATGCCTCACTACAGGAAGGACATTGAAGTGCTGGAGGGGGTCCAGAGGAGAGCCACCAAGCCAGTGAGGGGTCTAGAGAACAAGTCATATGAGGAGAGGCTGAGGGAACTGGGCATGTTTAGTTTGGAGAAGAGGAGGCTGAGGGGGGACCTCATTGCCCTCTACAACTACCTGAAAGGAGGCTGTAGGGAGGTGGGTGGTGGCCTCTTCTCCCAAGCGAATCATGATAGTACCAGAGGAAATGGTCTCAAATTGTGGCAGGGGAGGTTTAGATTAGATATTAGGAAGAATTACTTTACTGAGAGAGGGGTCAGGCACTGGAACAGCCTGCCCAGGGAGGTGGTGGAGTCACCATCCCTGGAGGTATTTAAGAAACATGTAGACATGGCTCTTCAGGGCATGCTCTAGTGCCCAAGATTATTGGTTTGTGGGTGGGTGTGATGTGGTGGGGTGTTGTGGTTTTTGTTTTGGTTTTGTTGTTGTTTTTTTTTGTTTTTTTTAAGGTTGGACTTGATCTCAGAGGTCCCTTCCAACCATGGTGATTCTGTGAGTAGGCACAGCCTACTCCATCAGCTTCTGCATTTCTCCAGCTGTGTGGAATGAAAAAACCCAAGTACAGTATCCCCATGAATTCATCAGCCTACTGGCACGTCATCAGTTACTGTCACATCATCCAGTCACAGAAGGTGCAATTCCTCTCAACTAACTTTAAGTTAATATAAAGGTGGTTTTTATATCCTATCAGATACGGTCAGTGTCAACTCCCTTTCTACTTGGTGGAGAGAAACAGGCATGAGTGACCCAGCTCAGCTAATCAGGAGGTCAATCACACCCTGTACACATCTGGGTCTCTCCAATGACTATAAAACAACAAGCTCAGATCCAGGCACCTGGTTGTGCAAATGCCACCCTCCATTCTGAGAAGGAATAAAGACACAGCTACCAGTCACTGACCTGTTCTCTTTAACGATGTAATGGAGGGTGACATCAGCAAATATTGAGTGCTCAGGAAAGCATTTCAGCTGCATTGTCTAATGCCACAGCTGAAAAAAAAGTGAAACAAATAAGAGAGGGCTATTGAAAGCAAAAAACCTACCACTTAAGATAAAGACCTTATGTGTACAGTTCCTTTTTCTTCGATCTTGCACTAAAGCTGATCCTGAATGCTTTTGCAGCAAAATTGATAGAAACGCTACAACAAAAAGATGGTTTTTGAAGCTATGCTACCCAGGAAGCAAATCCCTTCAGCTCAGGCAAGGCAGGACAGCTAACAACAAAGCTTTTCCTCACCTTGCAGAAGAACTGAGAGTTTGGGGCAATAAACTCACTCCAGATACACACAGGTGTGTTTTTACAATACTCTGCTGGCAGCTAGAGGTCATTACCTCATCTCTTATCTGCAGGAGGAGGATGTTTATACTCACTGTCCTTTTGATGCCACCGCACCGCATGCAGAAATGCGCCGCAGTAGTGAAACATGAACTCGTGCCCGGAGCGCTGAGCTGTCCCCCGCAGCAGTGGCAGCAAGGTGCGTCCGTCGATTGCCCTGATGGGGAGGACAGGAGTCACCAGAGTGCTCAGGAATTATAGTCTGTCTGCAGCTGGAGCGCGAGCAGTACTCACTCTCCATGCACGCAGCATTAGGATTTCAAGTGCCATTTCTAAACCAAGATGCTGTTTAGCTAATGAGCCCTGAGATTTTTAATTGTGTGGATGGGTGGAGACCAGTGATTAGCAATTACTAGCAGTTTTTGCAATTACAGTTAGTTCACACATCCTGCCTGGGGAGACAAGTTACCATTACTTTAATTCTCCTGCGAGTAAGTGATAACCATAGTGAAGGCGTGGCTCACACCTTGCAATATTGCTCCCTGAAACGGAAGTCACTGATAGCTCTGTGAGCTTGAGGCTTCATCAAAACAAAAATAAAAAACAAACCAAAACCCCAACCCCAACAAACCCAAAAAAGCGCCCCAAAACCCCACTTACTTAATTGACTAATAGTTGGTTTAGTTACACACCACCAGCACTTTATGCTTTTTGCTCAAATGGCTTAGCCACCCACGCTTTGTCGCGCTCTTCAGAGGAGTCTAACACAGAGAGAATCATAGAATCATAGAGTTGCCCACACCAGAAGGGACCTCCAAAGGTCATCTAGTCTGACCTCCCTGCAGTCAGCAGGGACACCCCCAACTAGACCAGGTTGCCCAGGGCCTTGTCGAGCCTCTCCTTGAATATCTCCAGGGATGGGGCCTCAACCACCTCCCTGGGCAACCTGTTCCAGTGCTCCACCACCCCCACAGTGAAGAACCCTCTCCTAATCTCCAGTCTAAATACTACAAATTGTTTGCTGTTGAGGAAGCTACTTCACCCGTGCTGGGAGCCGTGCGCTATTTGCTCCTATAGCTCCAGCCTGTGACTGTTCGGATGCACGACATACACAGTCAGCTTCTATCTAAAACGGGAGAGAGGAGCAAGTATGGTTTATGAAGCCAGCTTTGTACCTGTCCTGAGGCACTTCTCCTCCAGCCAGGTGAACCACTGTTGGGAAGATGTCCATAAGGCTTGTCAGTTCGTGGATAACTGCCCCTGCAGGCAACACTCCTGGCCATCTAACTATTCCTGGGACACGGATCCCTCCTTCCCAGCCTCCCATTCCTTTTCCACCTGTTGGGGGAGTTGGGGAGAGAGAAGTACGGAAAAAAGTTAAAAGAATGAAAGATATTAGATGTTTATTATGCATGTATAATAACAGGTTTTAAAACTTCCAGAATATTCAAATAACTTTAATTAAAACACACTAAATCTCGGAACACAGTAGAATGACTACAGTGCAAATTTCATTCTTCAAAAATAAGTATTACTGATCTCTTTATTTTACACTGCTTTCTTGGATGGCACATATCGCAATCCACTGGGAAGCAGTATTTTTGGCAGAAGAGGAACAACTCCGCTCTCTGACATTCTGACCCATAATTTTAATTGAACGTCACGTCTGACAATAATCTCCACAGTCCCTAATAACGTGCCCAAGAAAAAAGCCTGTTATTAATAAAAAGCAAAATCTGACTTGGTGTCAATGGAATAGAGGTTGCAGCCCCTGAGGAAGGGGGATTAACACAGGGGAAGCTTCGTTGTGAGACAGTTCACAATCAGAGGCAGCAGGAATATTATTTATATTTGCGGTCTTGGAGAACAGTGAGGAGGATCAGGATAATGTTTGATCATCCTCCAGGAGTTTACAGTCACAGGGATGCTCTGAGGCAGTCCCAAATGGAAGAGCACAGAAGTCATGCAATAAACAGGGGAGTGCTCCGAATATGCTGCAATGATGAAGACTTTCTACCTACATTTCTTTTGAAGTTGTTGAGATAATACAGAGTCTTTCTTAACGTGGTTTCTCTTGCATTCCTCTAGTGTTCTAAATTCTCTCCTCCATGCATTGGCTCTCTTGCAAGTCAAAATATTCATTGTTTTGAGTAGTATTTAAAAGTGAGAACCATGAACTAAATACAGATGTGAACTACAGATGTCAAGGATGGGGATATTAATGAAACAACGTGGTGTAAAGCCAGAACTCTAAGTTGAGAGTCCAGTTAGAAAACAAAAATTGCAAAATATTGGAGCTCAAGTACCTATATGACCTCTGCTCTGTTATTCCTCCTATCAAGGGCAGAAATTACAAGTCATTGCTGGGAAGTGTTGTAGGAAAACTGGCAGACAAAACTTGAAGCTAGCTAATTAGATCAGCTAATAAATCAGCAGCCGATAGGTAGTTTATTCTAGCCTCTGGCTTTGCTAAATTATGCCGGACTTTGCTATGGAGGAGGTGAGTTCATAGTACAGCTGAGAGGCAAGGTTCCCAGAGCTTGGTTTTAAAGGGTGACAGGGTGGCTTGATGGATTATAAACAGGGAAAGTCCAGCTGCTTGTGCAATAATCTTTGTGCTGTGTAAGATAACGGTATCTCATGCTTCGTTATTCACTAGTGGCTGTTCTCATTATTCAAATGTGTTTCTTATCTACCTTGTTTTTAATATCCTGTTAGCAATAGCAGCAGGGAGTTCTACAGATATTTGTGAATGAAACTAAATTTTTTAACCTTTTTTGAGTTGCTGAGTTTCACCAGGTTGTTCTGCTGTATGTGGACATAAATGGGAAGCTTTTCTGTTATTACTATGTAAACTGATATTATACCTCCTCTTGTCTTCTCTTATGATTTCATCATTGTCCTCTCATACTGAAATTTCTGTCTAATTCATCTTTCCTCTTTGGATTGTTCTGCTACTAATATACTTATCTTAGGCCAGAATAAGTGAATTCCCTAGGTTCGGTGCTATTCAAGTGAGCCCCTTGGCCTTTTTGCCTCTGTTACTTGGAGGGAAACTTCGTATCCAGAAGTTAAGCAAGATCAAAGCACTCAAATCTTCTCCTGTAGGGAATTAATGGGATGGGAGCAGTTTTCAGGCTTCATTATACGATAAATGCCAAGCTGCCCAAGCTGCCACAGTGGCTTTTCGAGGCTTCGCAGTCTGAAGGGAACACATGCAAGAGATACCATAGATCTTCATTTCTGTAGAACTTTTGACACTGTCTTGCAAGCCAGTCATAGAAAGAGAGTCTAGATGAAACATCTATATGATAGATGAAAAACTGGAAAACTGTACTAAGAAAATAGTCATCATGGTATATGCCAGTGTTGACATAGATAATTGTCTACTGTGAAAAACAAAAGGATGTTTCAAGTGAGACTCCAAAGAGCGTGTTCTGGATCTGCATCGGGGGAAGTTCAGATTGGACATTAGTAAAAGGTTCTTCAGGAAGATGGGGGTTGGCCACTAGAACAGACTCGCCAGGGAAGTGGTCATGGCACCCAGACTGTCAGAGCTCAAAGAGCATCTGGAACCTTAGTTATATGGGTTAGTTTTAGGTAGTCCTATGAGGAGCAGGGGCTTACACTTGATTAGCCTTATGGGTCCCTTCCCACTTGAGATATTCCATGATATTACAACATTTTCGAGTAATGCTTTGGGTTATGGACTAGATAGCACGCTTACAATATTTAAAGGCAACATGGAACCAGAAGGGGGTGCAAGTGCACTGGAGTCTAAAGAAAGGATGAACAAGGGGGAATGTAACAGCATTGAAATACGCTATGACCCTGCAACAACAGGCTGTTGCAAGGAGGGAAGGGAGAATCTCTTCTTTGTAGATTGGTGAATAGGGCAAGATGTGTTGCTTAAACTGCAGCAAGGAAATCAAAGGCAGGCAGCAGGGAAAAAAGCTCCAGTACCACAGACAGTGAAAATGGGATTATCTGGGAAGTCACTGAAGCTTTTTAAGAATACTGCTAACGGTTGTCAGAAGTGACTTTGGTGAAAATGATCCTGTCTGGAGGGTGAAAGAAGAATAGCTAGTGCCCTGTATTTTCTCCAGTCCTACAATCCAAGATTATCATGCTGGCATATATCTTAGTAAATGCAGTCTGTCTAGATGTATTTCATTCTATCATTTTCTTTTTAGGAGGAAGTCTTACGCACAGACACACTACCAACATTTTACCTTTATAGATCCCATTCCATCCACCCAGCTGAGCATTTCCTCTGTGAGCCTCTAAGGATCCTCCATGATCAGATGCAAAATAAATGAATGTGGCATTCTTCAAGCCTTCTTTATCAATGCTATCCAGAAGTCTGCCTATAAACAAACCAAAACATCATAATTATGTCCAGAGATGCAGTCAATTTTTTTAGGTTTTGACTCAAAATTCAGTCTTTCCATTTACTTGAATGAGTTCTGTTATGAACTATCACAAGCAATGCAAAGAGTAATCATGCATTACAAAAATAATAAAAGCCCATCAGAAAGCTGCTCAATGTGTCCAAAATTTGTTTGCGGTTTCTATAAAAATGGGAAAATAAAAAATAAAACCAACTGGAAAATAATTTAAATGAACGATCCTTTTATTCAAGCTAGTCGGAATACTCTGTCAGCTTTATGCTTTAAATTCACCGAGTCAAGGATTGTCTCCATTGTGTAGCCTCAAGCATCTTGAAAAGCTTAAATAATATTCCTGCCTAGATTTCTAATAATAGAAAACTGCTGTGTCTCAAGGGAACTGAACAGGGACTCTGAGATCAGGCTGCATACTATCAACAAAAATCATCTTCCGATGTCAGTGGTAAAAACTTCATAGACTGTAATTCAAACCTAACTTCATAAGGAATGTTTTCAGTATTGATAGCACCAAATGTTTATACAGAATGTGCTATGTCTTTGCTTGTTCTCATCACCTCCTGAATCAAATATATTCACCAAGAACAGCTTCCATAGCTAGAAAAGCAGCAGCAAAAAATGAAGTATGCAAGGAAAAAGCATAAGCCAGTGATAGGCACTTTTGCTCAATCTCTTCTCCTTTACAGACCTTTTGTGTATCCTTAGTCAAACTACTTATTATTGATCTTACCTAAAAATAGACACCTTCCCCCAAGAAAAGTTTAGATTGAGTCTAGGCATATTGGTTCTGAATTAGCTCTCATATCTCTTACTTAGCTGCCCAGCCCTGGAGGCTTCTGCCCTCTCTAGCTGCCATCCTGTTTGGCCTATACAAGGCATGTTCCTTGCACCGTCAGGTTTGTGCTATGCAGCCCTGCTTGTGTAGTCTGTGCCTGAAGGTGACTGGTGCCAAAAATTTGGAAGAAGAGCATGACACAGTCCTCTGGTTCATCTGGATCTGGCAGGAGTTCTCAAGCCTGCCATCAGAAGCAATCAGGCTCCTCTCAAAATGCAATTCTGTAAACGTGGTTACTAGAGGAAGCAAAGGTTCAGAAACTGAATCTTGGCCTGGACAGGAGGTGAATACTTTGTCAATAGGGTCTTCATTTTTGACTAAATAGAAAGCGTAGCTATCTCCCTCCCTGCCATTGAAGCAGAAAGGAATGACTAAGGCTTAAAAACCTAATTTAAATCCTAATTTAAGGGTTAAAAAACTATTTGGCACTCAGAGCCTAGATTTAGACCTTAGTGAGTCTTCACAACGTACTGACTTCACACAATTTATTAAGTGAAACTCCATAGTTTTTAATTTGGCCTTTTGGCCAGGAGGGAGTTCTGGTTTCTGCTCCAAGGATTAGTCTTTGATAAAAATGAACAAGTACACAAAACAACCACTGCATAATGTCATATTAAGCATTAGCACCACTTACATCTTCTGGGACCAGACAGAGCTGGAGAAATGTCATACATTTTGATTAACAACATCATCAAGCACATATTTTATTATTTGACTGCGATTAACACTGCACCACAGAAGTGTATCAATTAAAAAAGAGAGAAAGAACAAATCCTCACAAGAAAAGTTTGAACTTTCATCTTAAGAAAGAAAAACAAGAGGCGTGGAAATAAAATAGCAGTCTCTGGACCTAACTGTGTATCCAAGGCAAGTTCACTGATTTTATATACAAAAAGGGAGTTCTGCGACCGCTCCTTCAATTTCTTTTCCACATTCAAATAAAGGAAGGATTTTCTTCAAGAAGACCACTTACCTACCATCCAGTCCATCTCCTCTACATTATCTCCATATGGGCCATGCCTGCTTCTTCCCTGAAACTTCTCTGTGGTAATGAGGGGGGTGTGAACATGTAAGAGGGAAACAAAGAGAAGGAATGGTCTATGCTTGTTTCTGAAAAAAAAATAAAAAATAAAAAAGTAGTTATTTCTCTGCAAACTGCCACTCAACCCAAAATGTAACAGTGATATTATAGTGAATATCTCAAGAAAAGTTATTATTGTGGCCTAAACCAAAAATTTTTGGGTTTGACATCTTTGCATTTTTGAGGTTTTGGGATACAGAGGGTATTAAAACACCACTCAAAGATCTTGGTTTTGTATGAAGACCAAAGTAGTAAGGGCCCTTTCTTTAGACATGTGTAGAACATTAAATAAATAACAAGGAAAGTTCATAGCCAAAAGACTAACACACTCTCAGAGGCAAGGAGAATAGGACTCGTTTGCTTAAACTTAAACATGACTGTTACTGAGCATCTGAGACATCCTCATGGAGGAGGCAGATATGACGCTGCACCTGCAGAGGAACCATATCCCTTTAACATCAGGCCAGGGAGCATATCTAAGGAACCTGAGTTTATCTATATTTTTACAGAAGGGATTTGTTTTACCTCCAGTTTTCCTTAAAAAAGCCCAAAGAAACAACCCCTACATTCTGACAGAAATAGTATAATCTTATTCAAGGATATGCCCAGACTTGCTAAAACAATACTTTTAGAGACTTAGTGGTTTGTTCATTTCCAGTTGAGGTTACTAATAGCACTGTAAATGAAGAACACCTTTGGAAAACAAAACAAGACGGAACTCATTATCACCCTCCTGTTTGTAAAATATTAGCTTCATATGACTCTTTCTCTGACAGTTCATTCACCAAGCTAAGATCATTTTTCTGTTTCTACTGGCAGAAAGCTCAGCGCTTGGCCAGAACTCCTTTGTATTAGGTGAACAAAACATAAACACACTTCATCTTCCTTTTCCTGAAGAACTGATAAGCTATGTGTAAGATGAAGGGCAGCAGTTGAATGCTGACAAGTAGGGAGATGCCAGTAAACAACAAACTACTGGCCAACATCAGGACGGGTAGTTCAGCATGCCACTTGCTTAACCTTGTGGTGTATGACACAGAAATCACATTAAATTCCTTAAAAAGCAATACAATTTTTGTTGGTTACCTTTCAATGAATGAAACTGCCTCCTTCAGCATATTAGAAGTAGTTTTTTCTAGATTCATCGGTTGTTCAGTGATATCATGGTTTCTCATCAGGATACAGTTCCAGTACTTAGTTAAACCATAGCTGGAGAACCAGGAGATGAAATACAGGAGTCCACAGATGGCCAGACATATGACTATTTTCCATTTTACTGAGAATAAATTGGTAAGTTTTCCAATCAAAAGAGTAAGCACTGCAAGGATGATCATCTGTGTGTAAAGCCAATATGTATCTTGCAAAGACTTGGCCAGTTCAGGGTCATCTATGCCTTGACACTCATTCAAAAGGGTAAAAGGCATGCCATAAAAATAATCAAAGCCATGATTTAAAGGATGGTGGCAGTGATCATGGCGGGATTTGCAGTTCACACCCATATGCCACTTCCCTGAAAATATAAAACAAAGATATTAAATCCAACATCTTTACTCTTGGGTGTGTCTGCCTGTATTTCTAATAGGTTGGCTGCACTCCTCAGTTAAGGTGCAGCCAAGGGAGGAGCTGCTGTGGAACAGGGACAGACTCTGGGATCAGTTGTGCATTGGCACTTCATCTGCCTAGAACAGCTGGGTTTCTTCACCCATCTGTCAAAATTCCACGCAGGGCAACGGTCCAGCTCAGACACTTCCCTGAATAATAACATACAGGGTTGCAATAGTTGGTGCTTATTATTTTTCACATAATGTACCAGCCACTTCTTAATGGGTAGCCCGATGGGGAGAAACCCTTGTGCCAAAAGAAATAGCTAAGTGCGAAAATATGAACTAATTTACAGACAAGTTCTACCCGACCTTCACAGTTCAGGAACAAATTTCAAGAAGGAGCTGTACATATTGGCTCTGTGTGTCTATATTAATCCTAAAATAAGTAGCCAAAGTAGGCCACTCCAATTATCCACTAACAATTGGACATATCAGAATATGTCACACAATGATAATGAACGTTAATGAAGTCATATTACAGGGCAGTGTAATTATCCTGACATTGAAGGACAATAACCATGGACTTAGGGGCTATTACCTACACAAGTAACTTCTGAGGACTGCTAACCAGCACTGTGCTTGTGTATGTGAATGCAGTTTACAGTACGAGCTCTAGCAGACTGCAGTGAACCAGGGAAAGCTCACCCCTTCACACGGGCTTGTGTGAAGTCAGTACATTGCTGAGACTCACTTCAATTTAGGAACTAAATGACACCTCAGTGTGCCCGGAGCCAAGCAGAGGTGTGAAAAATCACAGTAATTACAATTAAGCACATGACATCTTTGACTACATCAAAAAGAGTTTAAAAATGAGAAGTGCTTGAAAGACACAGCCTTTAATCACTGTTCAGGCAAAATTAGCAGAGTTAATAGGATTTTCTTTTTTTCTACACATATTCTGATCCAAACCTCACTGAAGTAAATGGGACTTTTTCAGCTTTTTTTAGCAGCTCCTTTTTGCAGAAAATAAGGCACTTTTAGAGTCTTAACTGTGATAATAAGCAGGACGTGTAACTAACAGAAAACCTAGCCACCAGATATAATTAAGACCACTGTGGTGTCTGGTACCAGCTGGCAGACAACATTTTTCTGCTCTAATAGGTCAGTGAATGTCTCTGTTGATTCTTCCTAAAGCAATCTGTGCTGGGCAAACAAGATTCTTTCCTTTGCATTTACTCCTGTTTGCAGTGTACATCTATGTATTCCATACATCCTCATTTTGGATTTATCAGGTATGCTGAGCTCACACTGGGGCTTGTGGGTGGCATTCTAAAAAACCCTGCTGATTTTGAAAGTTATGCATACAAGAAACACTAGTTTAACAGATCCTAGGACATTTTGGCAAAGAAAAATATTTACAGAAGCAGCCTCATTTGAATAACGAGCAAGGAAAATGCAGCAAGTTGCTATGTCTCATACCTATAAGTGCTGTAGAATAACCTTGCTGGCGCAGTATTCTGGCAAAAGTAGTTTCATTTGGTGGGAGCCCACCAGAACACCCATTCCAAAAGAGAATCCGCCGTTGAGTGCTTGATGCCATGCCTAGAGAGGAACAACAGTCCTTGAAAATCCAAAATCAGGCTTGTTTTATTTTGTTGACAGATTGTTCTTTCTAATGAATGGGACCCAGTTGCCTAAGCCCAGGGCCTTTTATAAGCCCTATAGTATGCCCTGGGATATTTTGACTGACCCCCACAATGATGTCTCCTCCAAGTCTCTGCTAGACAAATTCAGATACCTCAGCTACGCTGGGGTGTCTCTACAAATGGCACTAATGCCTATGTTTGGACATTAAGCATCCTCTTACAACCAAAGTTCTATCAAAATATAATGTAAAAAAAACCAAAAAACCCACAATAAAAGTTTTATATAGAAAGAAAGGCCCAAAGTCAGGGGTACACAATTCTGAAATGTACAGTTCATGCTTATATTTCTGCTTCAGTAAGTCAGAATCACATCGGGGGAGCTACACTGATTATTACTGCCATATGCGGTGGCTGAAGTTTTCTGTCATGAATTTACATGGCTGAAGTAAATCTGTTTTAAAACATAATTGTTTGAGAACTATTCCACAGTCTGACACATTTCACTATGAAAAGTTTGCCAGGATATTCAAAATATGACACTTGATATAATCTTAATACCACTGAACATACGGTGTTTACACGATTTTATTCTTCATGTTTCTAACTCTGGGAGCTTTTGTGCTGTTTGGATTTTCATCCATTTGTGTGTTGTCATTTAGCCCATTTTCCCATATAAATCAATCACTGCATCTAGTCATCTTTATTTTTGTCCATCTCACAGAGACTCCAAATCCTGAGATTAACTAGTCTTTAAAATGGTTTATTTAAGGAGATTTTTAATAGCAACAATGGCTAGACAAACTGCAGTGAACCGTTAGAGAGAAGCCCAACCTGATCTGATGGGGTATCTGCCAGTCAGGAAAGCTGCTCTGCTCGGGGTACAGACAGCAGCTGCAGCAATGTGCTGAGTAAGTCTCACTCCTTCCTTTGCCAGGCCATCAATGTTAGGGGTTCTAAAGAAGAAAATCCCATCTCTGATAAAAAAAAATATGTATGACACAGAAGCTTGTGGTATCCTACTCCTCCTAGTTTTGTTGAGGACATCACCAAATTTACCAACCTCTATCTACAACTCAACTGGGAGAGCTTTGTGTTATATATTTTTTGAGATACCTTGACTAAACCTCTCTTTATCTACAACTCAACTGGGAGAGCTCTGTGTTATATATTTTTTGAGATACCTTGACTCTTTAGAAATTACTTTTCCGTGGATAAATGTGTATTTATTAATAACTAAAAAGAAAAAAAAAAAAAAAAGAACAAAAAGTATTTCAGGTATATCCTATATCAAAAGCCCATTACACATTTCGAAGAATGTAAGATATTAGAGTAAACACAGGATATATATCTGCAATCATTCTATCTATCAATCAATCAAGCCTTCCAGAATTTCTACCTGATATTAAATTCTAATTTCAGCCCTTGATTTTTCAACCCTGGAGTTGTGGGAACTTCTAAATTATACACATGCCTGGCAAATACAGTGCACGGACACATTTGCAAAGTTCTAACTGTATATGTCCAAGAAAGTTGCTTAAACTTTCCTATATAACTCCAGTAGGAAATACTGTAGAATGTTTGTTTTGTACATGGTTTGAAAAGAAGTGTATCTAGATAAACTAATCCATAATAATGAATACTTTCATTAGTGGTTTTTTTCACTTAAATTCACCAGAAAGGATAACTGATTTTGTAGAATACATTCTTACCTTATTGTATCATTGCCATAGCAGCCCACATCTCCAATACCAAGATCATCAGCCAGTATCAGTAAAAAATTGGGTTTTGAAGGATTTGATACACAGGTTCTTGGAAACAAGCCTAAAATTAACCAAATTTTTAGGCAGATCCTGAAATTAAAAGTAAAGATGTAATATTACAAACACATTTGTGAGCTTTACAAGAGACTTTGAACTACTGTTAAAGTTTTTTAAGGACTTAGTATAAATGCAAACAGCTACCAAATGCTGCCAGCAGATGGAGCTCCTGAATATTTACAAAAGTTCTGAGTTTTCTAACACCAGAATTACTTTTTTTTTTTTTTTGTATTCACACAGTAATCTTTTATGTGCACTCCTTTATTGAGATTTACACTGATCTCAGCAGATGCTCCCAGTAGAATGAGTGCTTGGATACTTGCAAGTCTCCTGAGGCACCCTTCCTACAGGGGTGTACGACACTCCTGTTAAGGCTCCTGGAATGAGTGGGACAGGAGCGTGGAGATCATTGGTGGGGAGGCATGCTGGTTATGATGGCAGTGCCCACTGCACCCAGTGCTACACACAGCATCTAAAAAGTGCTCCTTCGGCCATGGGACTATCTGCAAAATCAAGGTTGCAACAACGGGCTTAACCTTGCTTATCTTCCTAGAAGACCTTAAGAATATCTCAGCACCTACCTTAGTTGCTCAAGAGGTTTGCAAGAGGTATCTCAGGTGAAGAGATGTTCACCTGAAGTAAAATACATATCCTAGAATACATCAACTGGCTGCTAGTTCATGAATAGATACCACAGTGTCACAAATGCATACTAAATGTACTAAAATATGTATTGTATGTATTCCTAAACTTCCATGTCCTATAGAAGTAGTGTAAAAGGCCTCGAAAAGCCAATAGTTCTAAACCTGTATTAACTGATTAACTGCTTTCCAATTCTCAAAGAGTTTCTTAAAGAAAAAAAAAGGAGATCTGTTCTGTTTAAATGTTCTTAAGGACAGCATGTAAAAACCAGGAAGACTCTCAGTGAATGTAATTTCTTACCATTGTTTTCTCTGGTAAACTTCACGGCTTCCCTTTGTATAAAACAGGTACATAGTTGGTTACATAAGTTCTGTTGGGAAAAAAAATAAATAAAAATAATCAGAGCCCAGTAGCTCTGGTGATCTTGTTTGTGAGGTTAGAGGTTAGTCATTAACTGCCCTGCTGCATTACTGCAATCATATTGCCCACTGCCTGCAGCTGGCTCCCACAGAGGTGGGGTGAACTCCCAGGGCTTGATTCCGCAGGACCTACATTCCTGAGCGTGTGTTAGCAGAGCCCTGCTGGACTCACATGGCAGGGCAGAAAGAGCTTTTCTGAGGACCTGTACGGTCAGAGAGACAGCACTCCATGCAGATTTTCAAGATCTGGCCTGTTCTCAGCCGCCAATAACTTCAGGGACACTTGTGTTTGGCACAAAGGCTTTAAGCCCATGGCTTTAAACAAGTGTTAAAGGTGCCAACGACTTGACACACGCACAGAACTGTTGGTGTTCGCTGGAAGGAAGGTTTGCACCATTTTAAAAAATGAAGTAGTGATAAGTAAAACTATTATCTCACTTTTACTTAACCTGAAATTTTCTTTAAGGTACAGGAAAATAATCTAATCCATACTGTGAGTTAAGAAACTACCAAAAAATGACTCCAAGAAAAGTCATCCTGGAAATCAATATTTGCTGTGTAATTCTTAGGGAAGGAACTGTAACAGTCTTAGTTTTGGATACCATCTAGTACATTCTAGGAGGTGTTTCTAACTGAATGTTACTAAAAACTGCCCAGAAACATAAATATCATTATGATTATTTCCTTAGAGTACTTTAAAGTGTAATACTATTTATAAATTTAACAAGCCAGGTTTTCTAGCTGCCAACTCTATAAACTCAAACTGGATTTTAAAAACTTTGAAATAACCTTTCAGTTTTTAAATATTTGTTTTTATCTGGCAAGGCAAATTTTATGAGTGGAAGGCAGTTTCCTATGCGTGCTGGAATAGAGAGCACAACTAGTCACTTCAAAGTAAGAATGCCTTGGGAAATGCCTTGTCCTTGTGAATGGCCACAGACTGAGGGATCTGCAGAAAATATCACAGTGGAATCATGCAAACAGTCATGCAGAAGTACATGATAAACCAGCTCCACAGGGACTGGCATGTGTTCATCTTCAGGCTGTACACTGAAGTAAATTCAAGATGACATTCATTCCCTCACTGTGAAGACAGATAAAAATCTGAAATATCCCATCCATGTAAAATCCCTACTTTTCTACACTTCTTTCCATTTCAAACCAGCACAAAAACAAAGACGTCAGCTCTATTAAGGAACAGACTGAAGATAATATGAATATTTACTTTCTGTGACAACGAAAAGCAGGTTTGTAAACATAAAGTCACTTAAATACACCGAGAATGAAAAGTTCCATCTTAACTAATGTAAGACTTGTGTTTTGGTGGGGTTTTGGGGCTTATTTGAGGTTTTGTTTGGTTTGTTTGTTGTTTTTTTTTTTTCTTTGGGGGGGAGATGTTGTTGGTTTTGGGTTGGTTTTTTTTTTGTGTGGTGGGTTTTTTTTCCCCAAAAAATCAGCATGTTCTCCAGTGAGGAAAAAAATAACATTTTCTGTCTTTTTGGTATGTAAGGGTGTTACAGTTACATTGAATGTCTAAGGAATACTAAACTGGCCAGAGCAGAGTATAATCCTGCCTTATGCATTTCAAAGAATGAGCTATAGGATTAAAAAAAAAGCAGATGTTATTATTCTGACGAGGAAAATAGTGTAAAAAGAGTCAGAAGCTGGGGTCCATTGATGACTTTTCCAAGTAACACCTAGGTGATTGTTTGGCTATGGCTGAGACAATATGGAAAATAAAAATTAAGAGGAAAGCTTGATCTCTATTAGTTACGGAATTTTTCATAGGGTTGATGATGCTTCCCCTTTCTATTGGCAAAATCCTAAAAGACAGTTCTGAGACCTCATCCTATCTATCTGGCCACTGGCTGAGTCAGAGATCAATGGTGTAGCAGCAAGATCCCTCTGACCCAAGGCATTGACTGTTTGAACCAAGACCTTGCTGTGAATGCAGACACCAGAAGCCTGATATCATTCTTTGAAAAACAGGCTGTATTAACGTGAAGGAAAGGATTCTTTACCAAGAGCTCAAAGCCTTTCTTTATATGGTAGTATATCTCAGAATCATAGCCTCTCAGGCAAGCAGTGAATATAGAACCAGGGAAGTGCAGTGGTGGTTCTAAATGATATTTGGGTCTTAATAGCATTGGCTATGACATGATTTAAATTAGTGCTTCCTGATTTACTGCAAGCCAATTTAGGAGCAGTGCCCTTATTGAAGGACTAGAAGTACCAAACTTGTTTAAAAAAAAAAAAAAAATTAAATATGCATATTCACTTTTCTCTGTTATTGAGCTGATTCCTTCTGAAAAGAGAGCTCTCTTTGACATTGCTAGAATGCGATGAACCCAGTACTGGGCCCCAGGGCTTGTCCAGTTTTGTTAGCTGTTAAATAGAACAAACAACTTAATAAATCTAACATTGGCCTCTGGAAATCAGCAGTTATTGTCAGAAATCTGAGAAAACATCAGACAGCAATTCCCTCTGTAAGCCAGCACTCTACAATAAATGATCATCAAGACTAATGAAAAAAGAGGCCACCCCCTTTTAATAATGTGGAAAACAAACCCTTGTCTCAATTATTCTTCTCGCTCTGGAATCCCTCTTTCTCCTTGGGGTGCGGGGTGGTCCTGATCCTTCAAGACGCGCGTGGGAGGAAGCAGGCTGGGACTTGCTCCTTTTCCTTGTATTCTCCCTTCCCCCAGTCTCCAGCACAGAAACTGCCTGGGATCCCCGCCAGCAACAGCCAGCAAACTGGAACTGCTGTGCAGGTTTTACATGAATTCCAGGCAGAGTACAAAGTCCTTATTCTTGAAATACTGGCACAACGTGGCTACTGCCTTTGCTAGATTCCAGTTAATTCCGTGCAGATTTATATAAAGCCTGTCACTGCTTTATTTCAGCGTCTCAAAAGAGATGCTATAAATAATAACAACATAGGACTTGGAGCCCTGGAGTTTTGATTCTCCCACCTTACTTTTCCAGCCTTCCAGGCAGGATAAGAGAATTAGCTTGTCCTCCCCCTTTTCTTCAGTCACTTGGTCTTTTCTTCTTCACTGCATTTTCAAGAAAGGTAGACCTGCCTGTGCTGAAGATATTAATAGCACTTTCCTCCCCTCCCCCAAGAACAGAAAATTTAGTAACCCCCTTGCCAATCACACTTCTTTCAGAAGTGTATAATACACTTTACCCTTCAAAAGGTCTTAAGCAATTACTTAGAGAAGCTCTCGTCTATTCGTTTTTTGACATTTCAGTTCTCCAAGTTACTTGAATACAGTGAATGCTGAATTTAACACTGCCTTCTAGAAAAGTCGGTAGGAGTCAGTGAGGTGGAAAGATGAAGCAGCTTAAACTATCAGATTTGTATAATACACAGCAGGGATAATCATGGCTGGAAACAGTTTGGGTTTTTTTTTTGTTGACTCCCTTGCACTAATAACTGTACTTAGGTATTTTTATAAGTTTTCAAATTGGGCTACTTTTACTCATACCTATTTGACCATACTACTTATTTTGTATGATTACTTAACAGCTTGTGATACTTCTGGTGCAAAGATTTTTCGTGAAAAAAATAATATTTCTCAAAGATTACATCATGCTTTGGGAAAGATGGATCTTTAAGAGTTGTCAGTAACATAAGTATTAATTTCCATCTGCCCTTAGTCCAAATTATGACTAAACTTCTTTGACAGCCTTTCTAGACTGTTTACACCTTTCTCACCATGTGAGCACTACTGAAGATGTGCCCACACTGCTACTAGTATGTCTTAAAAAAAACCTAGCCAATAAAAAATACTCCAACCCACCACACCCCCAAAAAACCAAACCAACCCCAAACTCCCACAACTTTAAATTTTTTCTCTGATAACAAAACTATCTGGAAGCAGAGGAGGCATGATGCTAGCACAGACCTTGCATCCTGTTGCTCACCACTACATTAGTGGCCCAGCACAGTGGTAACACATGTGATTACTTATTGTCTTCAACAGAACCAAGCTTTAAACCAAGAAATTTTTCTTAAAAAAAAAAAAAAAAAGTGCTTTGTAACAATCAAGCAAAAAGGAGATGATTTTGAGCTCTGCATTTTGAGCTCTGCAGTATTTCCTCCTCTTCAGCTAACTGGTTTTTCACTGCACCTGAGCAGAGGAAGCTGCTGTTTACTCACTGCTGCACACAGGCAACTTCTCTGCCAGCAAAAAACTTAATTCTGGAGTCATTGTGTGCTTTATACTGCCACTTTCTGTCTGTCTTTTTGCACATGACTGAGTACTAAAAGCAAACACTGGCATTCATAGAGTCCCTTCTACCTTTGACAATTTTCCTGAGTGAACTTAGGGAGTGAAGAACATAAATATTGAAATGACACAAACAGCAATTTGTAAAATTGTTTCTATGTTACATTTTGGAAAAACACTAAGAGATAAGAAGAAAACTGTTACCAACTGAAGTTGCTGAGGGAGTAAAATGTTCGCAGGAGTATTCAAGGGAACACACAAACCAACAACAAAACACTAACTAGAATAGGTTTTTTTCCATTTACTAACTTAAAACTCAAATTTCTCTAAAATTCTAGCAGCAGGCTTATAATAAACTCTGACTTCATCTATTCCTGCAAAAATACAGCCATTAATACAGTTCAAAGCCCTAAAATCTCTGCAATTTCATTGCAACTTCAGTGCAAAGTCATGACCCCTTAGAAAATCTGGCTAGGGTTCACCACTGGAGGTTTTTCATTTTGTTTGTTTGGTGGTTGGTTGTTTTCTTTTTAACAAGTATTGGCAAGATCTCTTTTTACAAACTGTACTTTGTAAACCTATATATTCTGCTACCAAATATTTTTGGACATTAATTCCAATACAACACTCAAATGAACCTTGTTTTTCTAGAACTGACATTGAAACAGTTCAAACTATTAATCTAAAACATTTTTATTGGCATTTTGTATGCAATAAAATTGCCGTTTGCCAGATTAGCATGCACTAGGACCTTTTTCTGAAAAGCAAAATGCCTTTCTCTCTTTTGTAAAAGTGCTGCAGAGGTATACTGCACATCAACATTTTGCACTTCCTACTGTCTGTCATATAAGCTATTGTTAATCTGTTCAAAAAGCTATTTGCAACTTCAGGATGATCCCTCACTAAATCAGATTCGCTTGGTGTCAGGTATTGCTCAACTTCTTAACAATATTTCTGCAGAGATCAGTACAGAAAGCAACAATGACTCAAACTACTATGTTTGGAGTGAGTATGACCATGATTTGTGGATTACAGGGGAAAAAACTGCAAAGATCTAGAGTTCTGCATAAGTCTAGTATTTCTTACTGCTGCCTGCTCAGCCCCATACACTAGGCTCTCTGCAGAATTCTCCAATTGTCTTCCTTCAGCAGGCACACATTATGCAGAGATTAGGCATATAATTTTATAGCCATCTCTTACATTTAAATCTGCAAAACCAGTCTCCATTCAAGCCCTTTACCACACCAGACAGGATATTCTTAGACCTTTGGCTAGTGGTGAAGAATGAAGGGGAAAATCTCTGATCAACATTCCTGTTCTTTATTTTCATCCACTTTGTGTCCCAGAGAAAGGACACAATTATTTTCCAAAAGCTTTGTCAGCAGAAGACTCAGATGCCGCAGGACATCCTAGCAGACATCCATCTCACAAACTTTGCGTGCTGTCACCTTCTTTATCGCACCAACAGAATGGGAAGGTCCCACAACAAGGCTGTAGCCACGGCTTCCACAAGATGTTGTACAAGGAGAGCTGCTCAGGGACTGGAGTCAGTGTCCTGCGATGCTCTTCTGTGGCTCTCCCAATCTTCTTTATTACAGTGTCATAAAGGGGCTCAGTGTCAGCTGACAGAGGTTTAGCTTCAGAAGGGTCTCGTGAGAGATCAAACAGCAAGGGTGGGTCATGATGGGTCACACCTTCTCCAAAACATGGGCAAATTCCTTTTCCATAACAAGCCCCAGCCCCAGGTGGATGAAAAATGGGGGTCACGTAATGAGCCTTCCAGATGGCTCCACCTGGCAGGAAAGAAATCTTATGGCACAACTACAAAACAACAGAGGAAAATGGAGAATGTCTTCAAGAAATAGGAGTAGAGCTGTTTACTAAGGAGACCTCTTCTCACACACTCTGGCACCCCAGCACCACAAATCAGATTCTCTGCGTGGAGTACTGACTTTGAAGGTGGGAAACAATAGAAATATGAAGAAACTCACATTAAATTTCCAGTGTGATAGCAGACTGCCTGTATTCCCTCCCCACTTCCTATAGGTTTGTTACTTACAAACATTTCTTTGCAGTATAACATGTCCAGTTAACCAGTCGCTGGTATGTCATGCACAACAATTTCAAGAATCTCAGAGACCAGTCCTCATCAACACCCATCATGCAATAAATTTGTCAAGTAGCAAGATGGCTATCAAGAGGACAAATATCACATTTTGCAGTTATCACAAACATTTATACTTACTGTCCTTTTCGTGCCACCGCACTGCATGCAAGTAGGACCCACAATAGTGAAACAGGAACTCATGCTCTGACTTTTGAGCTCTTCCTTGCAGTAAAGGCATCAAATTTCGTCCATCAATCACCCTAATAACATGGGGAGAAGTGTCTTCAGGTAGGGACAAACCTGACAGTGAACTGCATGTTTATCACTGACTTTCTATTGCTTGCACCAGTGCTTGAAACAGCATACAGAATAATTTGATCATAGATTTAGAGCAGCCAGCAGACTGCCAAGCCAATATTTAGGTCCCTAGATAATATTAATTTTTTTAATGTCTGGGTCAATGATTCCATTTAGCAATATGTAAACAATATTTAGAGTTTGGTCTAGCGGAAGTAATTTGTTAGGGAAATCAATACCAAACTCATAATTGTTTACATTTAGCAATTTTCAAAGGAGCTTAAAGAAATCTGTTGAGCAAGGTTCAGTTTAATGACTTTAGAAGGTATTTGTAAGCATCCATAAATCAATTCAGTTAGTACCAAAACAACTTCTTCCACCAATTTTTCTCTGAACTCATTCAGGAACCTGGATTTTGAACTAGCCGCTGGTCTTTGGCAGGAACAACTCCTCTGGCCATAAGCACACTTGTGGGCATATCTGGGAGAGTTTGCCCACTAATTTAAAAACTCAGACCAGTCTTGAGGCTAAACAATATTTGCAGAATCTCCAAGGTAAATTTTTAGCAGTTAGCTTTCCTATCATTTTCTCCTGTTGCAAAGATCTCCATACCTGTCCTGTGGCAACATTCCTCCAGCCAGATGAACAAGAGTGGGATAAATATCCATAAGACTTGTAGGTTCATCAATAACCGTGCCTGCAGGTAACACTCCTGGCCACCTAAATACTCCTGGCACACGGATGCCTCCTTCCCAGCCTCCCATGCCTTTTCCACCTGCAGAGAAATGAGTCAACATATGGCAGTTCACAGACAAACACAAACCTCTTCATTGGCTTATTGCATTTGAATGTACAGAAAAAGATGGAGTAATACACTGCTTATCCAACAGATTCAACTCTTGCATTGGAATTCATATACTTTAGAAGGCCTCAAAATGTGACATATAACTCATCCAAACCTAGAAATATAGGGGAAGGCAATCTCTATTTTAACCCTGGCCACAGGGGAGGGTAGAAATAATAAATCTATCTTTGAAAACCTATGTTCAGCAACAATAAAACAGCTTCAACTTTCTGTTATCCTCCATTTCATGGT